TTGCCCCTCCTTTATGTGTAAGTTTAGGCTATATATTTGAGACCTTTCTTTTTTCTTGAGAAAGGCTTGTATTGTATACTTTCCTCTTAGGACTGCCTTTGCTGCATCCCAAAGAATTTGAATAGTTGTGTTTTCATTTTCATTTGTCTCCATGATTTTCTTAAATTCTACTTTAATTTCCTGATTGACCCATTCATTCTTTAGTAGGATGCTCTTCTTCCTCCATGCATTTGAGTTTGTTCCAAATTTCTTCTTGTGATTGACTTCCAGTTTCAAATCATTGTGGTCTGAAAATATGCAGGGAATGATCCCAATCTTTTGGTACCAGATGAGACCAGATTTGTTTACCCAGTATGTGATCTATTCTGGAGAATGTTCCATGTGGACTCAAGAAGAATGTGTATTCTGTTGCTTTAGGATGAAATGCTCTGAATATATCTGTGAAGTCAATCTTGTCCAGTGTATCATTCAAGACCTTTGTTTCCTTGTTGATCTTCTGCTTTGACGATCTGTCCATTGCACTGAGGGGGGTGTTAAAGTCCCTTACTATTATTGTATTATTATCAATGTTTTTCTGTAATTTTCATAATTAATTGGTTTATATGATTGGCTGCTCCCATGTTAGGGGCATAAATATTTACAATTGTTAGATCTTGTTGGATAGACCCTTTAATTATGATATAGTGTCCTTCCTCATCTCATATTACACTATGGTTTAAAATCTAATTTGTGTGATATAAGGATTGCCACCCCAGCTTTCTTTTGATGTCCACTAGCATAATAAATGGTTTTCCACCCCCTCACTTTCAATGTGGAGGTGTCTTTGTGTCTAAAATGAGTCTCTTGAAGAAAGAATATTGATGGGTCTTGCCTTTTTATGTGATCTGATACCCCGTGTCTTTTGATTGGGACATTAGCCCATTTACATTCAGAGTAACTATTGAAATATATGAATTTAGTGCCATTGTTTTACCTCTAGAGTCACTGTTTCTGTATATTCTCTCTGTTCCTTTCTGGTCTATGTTACGTTTGGGCTCTCTCCTTACTTAAAGGATCCCTTTTTTTGTCTCCTGTAGGGTTGGTTTGGCAATCACAAATTTTTATAGTTTCTGTTTGTCCTGGAAGCTTTCTATCACTTCTTCTATTTTGAATGATATCCTAACTGGATAAAGTATTCCTGGCTGCATATTCTTCTCATTTAACACCCTGAATATACCATGCCAGTCCTTTCTAGCCTGCCAGGTCTCTGTGGATGGTTCTGCTGCCAATCTAATGTTTCTACGATTGTAGGTTACAGACCTTTTATCCTGACCTGCTCTCAGGATTTTCTCTTTGTCTCTGAGATTTGCAAGTTTCACTCTTACATGTAGGGGTGTTGACCTATTTTTATTGATTTTGAGGGGGGTTCTCTGTGCCTCCTGGATTTTGATGCCTGTTTATCTCTTTTTCTCAGCTTCTTTGTTCTCCATCATTTGGTCTTCTAGAGTACTAATTCTCTGTTCTGCCTCATTTATCCTAGTAGTTAGAGGCTCCGTTTTTTATTGCACCTCATTAATAGCCTTTTTTATTTCAACTTGGTTAGATTTTAGTTCTCCAGAAAGGGATTCTCTAATGTCTTCTATGCTTTTGTCAAGCCCAGCTAGTATCTTTATAATCGTTATTCTGAACTCTAGTTCTGATGTCTTATTAATGTCCATATTGATTAGGTCCTTGGCAGTTGGTACTGCCTCTTATTCTTTTTCTTGAGGTGAGTTTTTCTGTTTTGTCATTTTGTCCAGAGGAGAATAGAAGAACAAGAAAACAAAATGCTAACAGGGTAACAATGACCCCAGAAAAATATACATTAAATAAATCAGAAGAGATCCAAAACTGGGAGAAAAGGGGGAAAAAAAGAATATGATCAGGCTGGTGAATAGAACAGAGCCATACACTAGATTTAGGGTATATTTTGGTCTGTTAGAAGAAACTGTGTCCCAAAATTTTAAAGAAAGAAAAACATATATATACAAAAAATAAGAGTAAATACAATGAAGGGATAGAATATGACTGCAAAAACGAAAATTAAAAAAGATTTTAAAAAATGAATTGATAAGATAAGAAGTTGGTTGAAAAGGGAAAGAAGAAAAATTCAAAAGAAAGAAAGAAAGAAAGAAAATTTTAAAAATTAAACTTGAAAGACTAAAGAATCATGGCGAAAAAGTCATGAATTCTTTTTTTTTTTAATTTTATTATGTTATGTTAGTCACCATACAATACATCATTAGTTCTTGATGTGGTGATCCATGATCCATTGTTTTCATATAACACCCAGTGCTCCATGCAGTACATGCCTTCCTTAATACCCATCACCGGGCTAACCAATCCCCCCTCCCACCTCCCCTCTAAAACCCTGTTTGTTTCTCAGAGTCCATAGTCTCTCATGGTTCATCTCTCCCTCCAATTCCCCCCCCCCATTTTTCCCTTCCTTCTCCTAATGTCCTCCATGCTATTCCTTATGTTCTGCAAATAAGTGAAACCATATGATAATTGACTTTCTCTGCTTGACTTATTTCACTTAGCATAATCTCCTCCAGTCCCATCCATGTTGATGTAAAAGTTGGGTATTCATCCTTTCTGATGAAAAGCCATGAATTCTATGTGCTATATTGCCCTAGCCCTGGAGTTTTGCAGTTCTTATTGATTGGTAAACTTAGTCGTGGCTGGATGTTCTTGCTGATCTTCTGGGGGACGGGCATGTTGCATTGATTCTCAAATGTCTTTGCCCCAGGCAGAATTGCACCACCCTTGCCAGGGGCCAGGCTAAGTAATCTGCTGGGGTTTGCTCTCGGTAGTGTTTGTTCCCTGAAGACTTTCCGCACATCTTTAGAGGATGAGAATGAAAATGGCGGCCTCCCAATCTCTGGCCCCAGAGGAGCTGAGAGCTTGGGGCCCCACTCCTCAGTGAGCCCTCAGAGAAAAGCAGCCAATCACTCCTATCTCCCTGGTCTCCAGCCACATTCCGTGCTCACCCAGCCTGTGACCGAGCATTGCTATCTCTGGCACATGGCCCTGTTTGGAGGCTCCAAACCCAGCAGATTCCTGCCACGTGCTCCCATGCCTCTCCTCCCTGGGGAGAAAGGGAAGTCACTCCAGATCTGCTGGTTGTCGGGCTCCTGCTCATAGAGTAGTGGCCCCACTATGTCATGGACCATGGTTTATGGCAACCCCAAGCTGAAAGCCCACTCCTCTGCTCACTCTTGGCAGCTGGCTTCCCCACTCTGATACCTGGGAGCTCTGCCACACTCAGGCACCGCCAGTCTTTCTGTGATCCTGAGGGTCCTGAGACCACACTGTTCCAGCGAGAGCTCCACCCCCTGATTAGCCCTGGAATGACATCCCTCAGCAGAGCAGCTTCTAAAAATTCTCATTTTGTGCTCTTCTGCTCTATCACTTGGCAGTAGCTGGCTGACAGAGGCTCCCTCCCCGCCACGGTCTATCTTTCCATAAATTGCCCCAGATTCACTTCTCCACATGTCCTACCTTGCAGAAAGTGGTCACATTTTGTTCATAGAATTGATGCTATTCTTTTCTTTGATCTCCTATTGAGTTCATAGGTATCCAGAATGGTTTGATAGCTATCTAGCTGAATTCCCAGGACCAGACAAAATTTAGGTCTCCTACTCCTCCACCACCTTGGATACCACCCCAGCAGTAAATTCTATTAATATGACATATCATGTGCACCAATGATTGGAAGTTCTGATGAAAATTAAGAGGTTAAGGATGGGAGGGGATATATACACACACACACATATATACAAACATGCAAAGAGATTGTTGCTATAGTCTTTATTTTTAAAATGTCATTGTAGGTTGTTTTAAATCTTGATCAGTGCAGTCTTTTGAATGAGCAGGAGAACAATGACTTTTACCATAAGTGAAACAAATTCTGTGGTAATGCAAGAGAGATTTAAATTAGCCTAAAGTGATTTTCACTGTTGAGGAGATATTTAAAAAGAACACTAAGTACATAGCTATTTCCTATATCCCTAACCTAAGAAAACATACACATTTTCCTGTTACATAGGCTCCATAATTCTTTATGACTCCTGAAAGTTTTCATTTTAAAAAAATTTGAGTATCTCATTTATGAAAAGTTGTATTTGCCAGTCAAAAGCCTCCTAAGAATACATAAAAAGCTTGGTAAGGAAATGATGTAAGTAGTCACTAGAATTGTGACATAGTGAACATTCTTTTACATCAGTGTTACCAAGGAGTTTTGAATCATAACAGTACACTTCATTTGGAGGACTTGACTAGCTCGAAGAGGTCCTCCCTTGAGTATCCTCTTTCTCCACCTTCAAAAGAATCATATTTTCTTTCTGATTTTTGTCCAAGTGTTTATGGAATCAAGGATCTGGACTAACCTACCATATTTCATCACTTGGTGCCATCTACACATGAGGTATTTGAACCTGGGAAGTATTTTAAGTATAAAGGTTTGGGTTTGAAGCTTTGGGTTATGTTTAAGATATTTGGGTTTAGTATCTGAGTTAAAGTAATTATCTATGTTCCTATCCTTTTTAAAGAGATCTGGTTAATTCTTACAGCCTTCTAATCAATATGAAGTCTTATTTGGCAATTAAAATCATAGATTAGAAATTAATTGGACTTGATCTGAATGGCTCAAATGACCAATGACTTGTTTAACTAAACAATTCTTCACACTATGAAATGGAGCTATCTTCACTTGTTTTCATGAGTGAAGTGTGAACAATCCCAACCTCTTGACACCAAATTTCAAATATTTTTGTTTATGAAGACTAATGATTATTTTGAAATGTTGCCATAGAACAGTTTCAGTTAAGTAACATTTCTGGAAAGAAAAATTATTTAAAATGCCTTTTCTAAGGAGTATTTCATCAGATTTTGTCATTTAAAATCACTACTTTGACTTCATTTGTTTAATTTACAATTACACTCTTTCTAGAAATATCCAGTGAAAGCCAATCTTTTTAGACATGGCTGAACATGGGCTTGCACCTACTCTTACTGAAATACCTCCTGTAGCTTCAGATATCAATGGCGACCCCATGCATCAGGTAAGGATAGTTTTGCTCTCTTTTTTTTCATTATAACTGGTCAAGTCTTTCTTGAATCCAGTATTGCCTTTATTTAGAAAACGTGTATCATTTTTATGATTGGTCACTTAGTTTGGAAGTTTTCAGTCTTTTCACAAACATTGATTTATCTTCCTTGTAGCCTTTTAAAAATCCCGTTAGAGACATTTAGCATTAGCTTAGGCCACATATAACCTCCTTTTGGGTGGCATTAGCTGCTTTTTCAGCCACCCTTGATCAGCTCAAAAGTCCTGGTGTTGAAAGTTTATACTATCCACAGACAGTATCTTCTGATGAATAGTCTAAAAGTATGACTCTAAAGCAGACTAAACTTCTTTCATACTCATTCATATCTGTGAGTTCAATTTTTTAATATTTAAAGGTATTATTTTGAGCAGCAATGACTTCTACCTACCGGATTGGTTTCAAGAAAGAAAGAATGTGGTTTAGATTTAGCATTTATTGATTTAAAGCAATCTATTCAAGAAAGGTCTTTTTTAAAAAGATTTATTTATTTAGAGAGAGAAAGAAAGGGAAGGGCAGAGTGAGAGAGAGAATGCTGAAGCAGACTCCCCACAGTAAGCAGAGCCTGATGTGGGGCTCAATCCCAGGACCCGGAGATCATGACCAAAGCCAAAATCAAGAGTCAGCCACTTAACTGACACTGAGCCACCCAGGGATCCCTATTCAGGAAAAGTCTTATCTACATATACAGTGTGAAAAATCACTTAACTTTTTTCTTTGGAGTTCAAAAAAAAAATATTCTACTTCTGGATTATAATTTGGTTTGACATCACCATATCAAAAGAAACGGAGGGGGCGCCTGAGTGGCTCAGTCGTTAAGTGTCTCCCTTCAGCTCAGGTCATGGTCCCAGGGTCCTGGGATCGAATCCCACATCAGTCTCCCTGTTCGGCAGGGAAGGCCTGCTCTCCCTCTCCCACTCCCACTGCTTGTGTTCCTGCTCTCGCTCTCTGTCTCTGTCAAATAAATAAATAAAATCTTAAAAAAAAAAAAAAAGAAACGGAGGTACAAATGACCTTCCTGAAATTAAATGTACATTTTTTATGTTTTTTTAATTTAATTTAATTTAATTATGTTATGTTAGTCACCATACAGTACACCATTAGTTTTTGATATAATGTACCATGATTCCTTATTTTCATAAAGCACCCAGTGCTCCATGCAGTACATGACCTGCTTAATACCCATCAACATGCTAACCCATCCTCCACCCCTCTAAAACACTCAGTTTGTTTACCAAAGTCCAAAGTCACTCATGGTTCATCTCCCCCTCCGATTTCCCCCCACTTCGTTTTTTCCTTCCTTCTCCTAATGGCCTCCATGTTATTCCTTATGTTCCACAAATAAGTGAAACCATATGATAATTGACTTTCTCTGCTTGACTTATTTCACTTAGCATAATCTCTTCCAGTCCCATCCATGTTGATGTAAAAGTTGGGTATTCATCCTTTCTGATGGCTGAGTAATATTCCGTTGTATATATGGACCACATCTTCTTTATCCATTCATCTGTTGAAGGGCATCTTGGCTCTTTCCACAGTTTGGCTATTGCAGACATTGCTACTATGAACATTGGGGTGCATATGGCCCTTCTTTTCACTACATCTGTGTCTTTGGGGTAAATACCCAGGAGTGCAATTGCTGGGTCATAGGGTAGCTCTATTTTTAATTTTTTGAGGCACCTCCACAGTTTCCCAAAGTGGCTGTACCAACTTGCATTCCCACCAACAGTGTAAGAGGGTTCCCCTTTCTCCACAAACTCTCCAACATTTGTTGGTTTTGGCCTTGTCAATTTTTGCCATTCTAACAGGTGTAAGGTGATATCTCAATGTGGTTTTGATTTGAATTTCTCTGATGGCTAATGATGATGAACATTGTTTCGTGTGTCTGTTAGCCCTTTGTATGTCGTCTTTGGAGAAGTGTCTGTTCATGTTTTCTGCCCATTTTTTGACTTGATTATTTGTTTTTGGGGTGTTTGAGAAGTTCTTTATAGATCTTGGATTTCAGCCCTTTATCTGTAGTGTCATTTGCAAATATCTTCTCCGATTCTGTGGGTTGCCTCTTTGCTTTGTTGACTATTTCCTTTGCTGTGCAAAAGCTTTTAATCTTGAGGAAGTCCCAAAAGTTCATTTTTGCTTTTGTTTCACTAGCTTTTGGAGATGTATCTTGAAAGAAGTTGCTGTGGCCGATGTCCAAGAGCTTACTGCTTATGTTCTCCTCTAGGATTTTGATGGATTCCTGTTTCACATTGAGATCTTTCATCCATTTTGAGTTTATCCTTGTGTATGGTGTTAGAGAATGGTCGAGTTTCATTATTCTGTATGTAGCTGTCCAATTTTCCCAGCACCATTTATTGAAGAGAATTTCTTTTGTCCATTGCATGTTTTTTCCTGCATTGTCAAAGATTGTTTGACCATAGAGTTGAGGATCCATATCTGAGCTCTCTATTCTGTTCGTTGGTCTACATGTCTGTTTTTGTGCCAGTACCATGCTGTCTAGGTGATCACTGCTTTGTAATATAGCTTGAAATCAGGCAACGTGATGCCCCCAGCTTTGTTTTTCTTTTTCAAAATTTCCTTGGCGATTCGGGGTCTTTTCTGATTTCATACAAATTTTAAGATAGTTTATTCCAGCACTTTGAAAAATGTCATTGGAATTTTGATTGGGATGGTGTTGAAGGTATAGATTGCTCTGGGCAGCATAGACATTTTAACAATGTTTATTCTTCTGATCCATGAGCATGGAATGTTTTTCCATCTTTTGTGTCTTCTCCAATTTCTTTCAGGAGTGTTCTTTAGTTCCTAGAGTATAGATGCTTTACCTCTTTGGTTAAGTTTATTCCGAGGTATCTTATGGTTTTTGGTGCTATTATAAATGGAATCATTTCTCTAAGTTCACTTTTTACAGTTGCATTGTTAGTACATAAGAAAGCAATTGATTTCTGTGCATTGACTTTGTATCCTGCCACATTACTGAATTGCTGGATGAGTTCTAGTAATGTGGGGGTGGAGTCTTTTGGGTTTTCCACATAAAGTATCATGTCATCTGCAAAAAGCGAGAGTTTGACTTCTTCTTTGCCAATATGAATACCTTTTATTTCTTTTTGTTGTCTGATTGCTGTTGCTAGGACTTCTAGTACTATGTTGAACAATAGTGGTGAGAGTGGGCATCCTTGACGTTTTCCAGATCTTAAGGGAAAGGCTCTCAGCTTTTCCGAGCTGATATTCACTATGGGTTTTTCATAGATGGATTTTATGAACTTGAGGAATGTTCCCTCTATCCCTATACTCTGAAGAGTTTTAATCAGGAAAGGATGCTGTATTTTGTCAAATGCTTTTCTGCATCAATTCAGAGGACCATATGGTTCTTCTCTCTCCTCTTATTAATGTGTTCTATCACATTGATTGATTTGCGAATGTTGAACCACCCTTGCATCCCAGGTATAAATCCCACTTGGTTGTAGTGGATGATCCTTTTAATGTACTGTTGGATCCTGTTAGCTAGGATTTTGTTGAGGATTTTGGAATCCATATTCATCAGGGATATCGGTCTGAAATTCTCCTTTTTTGATGGGGTCTTTCCCTGGTTTGGGGATTAAGGTAATGCTGGCCTCATAGAATGAGTCTAGAAGCTTTCCTTCTGTTCTTATTTTTTGAAACAGCTTCAGTAGAATAGGTATTATTTCTTCTTTGAATGTTTGGTAGAATTCCCCAGGGAGTCCATCAGGCCCTGGACTCTTGATTTTTGGGAGGTTTTTGATCACTGCTTCAATCTCATTACTGGTCATTGGCTTATTCAGGTTGTCAATTTCTTCCTGTTTCAGTCTTGGCAGCTTATAAGTTTCCAGGAAAGCATCCATTTCTTCCAGTTTGCTTAATTTATTGGCCTATAGTTGTTGATAATAATTTCTAATAATTGTTTCTACTTCCTTGGTGTTAGTCATGATCTCTCCCCTTGCATTCATAATTTTATTAATTTGGATCCTTTTTCTTTTCTTATGGATAAGTCTGGCCAGTGGTTTATTGATCTTATTAATTGTTTTAAAGAACCAACTTCTAGTTTCGTTGATCTGATCTGCTGTGTTTCTGGTTTCTAATTCATTGATTTCTGCTCTAATCTTAATTATTTCTCTTCTCTTGCGTGGCTTAGTTGTCATTTGTTGCTTTTTCTCTAGTTCTTTAAGGTGTAAAGTTAGTTGGTGAATTCGGGATTTTTCTATTTTTTGAGTGAGGCTTGGATGGCTATGTATTTCCCCCTTAGGACTGCCTTTTCAGTATCCAGTGGGTTTTGGACTGATGTGTTCTCATTCTCATTGGTTTCCATGAATTGTTTAAGTTCTCTTTTGATCTCATGGTTCACCCAAACCTTCTTAAGAAGAGTGGTCTTTAGCATCCATGTGTTTAAATTTCTTCCAAATTTTTTCTTGTGATTGATTTCCAGTTTTAAAGCATTATGTTCTGGTGATTAACATAACAATAAAAAAATTTTTAAAAGATAAAGCATTATGGTCTGAGAAAATGCAGGGAATAATCTCAATCTTTTGTTATTGGTTGAGAGCTGATTTGTGACATAGTATGTGGTCTCTTCTGGAGGAGGTGCCATGTGCGCTCGAGAACAATGTATATTCTGTTGCTTTAGGGTGGAATGTTCTGTATATATCTATGAGGTCCATCTGGTCCAGTGTGTCATTCAAAGCTCTTGTTTCTTTGTTGATTTTCTGCTTAGATGATCTGTGTATTGCTGAGAGTGGAGTATTGAGGTCTCCTACAATTAACGTATTATTATCAATATGACTTTATTTTGGTTAACATTTGGCTTATGTAGTTGGCTGCTCCTATTTTGGGAGCATAGATATTTACAATTGTTAGATCTTCTTGTTGGATAGACCCTTTAAGAATGATATAGTGTCCTTCTGTGTCTCTAACTACAGTCTTTAGCTTAAAATCTAGTTTGTCTTATATGAGAATTGCTACCCCAGCTTTCTTTGGAGGTCTGCTGGCATGGAAGATGGATCTCCATCCCTTTACTTTCAGTCTGGATGTATCTTTAGGTTCAAAATGAGTCTCTTGTAGACAGCATATGGATGGGTCCTGTCTTTTTATCCAATCTGCAACCCTGTGCCGTTTAATGGGTGCATATAGGCCATTCACGTTGAGAGTGATTATTGAAAGATATGAATTAATTGTCATCATGTTGCCTGTGAAGTCCTCGTTTCTATGGATTGTCTCTGTAAATTTCTGTTCTATATCACTGTTGGGGTCTTTCTCCTCTTATAGAACCCCCCTCAATATTTCTTGCAGGGCTGGCTTAGTGGTCACATATTCTTTCAGGTTCTGCCAGTCCTGGGCGCTCTGCATCTTTCCATCCATTCTAAATGAAAGCCTTGCCAGATAAAGTAGTCTTGGCTGCATGGTCTTCTCATTTAGTACCCTGAATATGTCTTGCCAGGCCTTTCTGGCTTGCCAGGTCTCTGTGGATAGGTCTGATATTATTCTGATGTTCCTCCCTCTGTACGTAAGAAATCTCTTCCACCTAACTGCCCTTAAGATGGTTTCCTTGGTTCTAAGATTTGCAAGATTTACTATTACATGCTGAGGCGTTGGTCTGTTCTCCTTGATCTTGGGAGGGATCCTCTCTACCTCTAGGACACAAATGTTTGTTTCATTCCCCAGTTTAGGGAATTTCTCAGCTATGACTTGCTCAAATATATCTTCTAGTCCCCTCTCTCTCTCCACCCCCTCAGGGATCTCAATAATTCTGATATTGGAACGTTTCATGGTGTCACTTACTTCTCTGATTCTATTTTCATTAATTCTGAGGTTTTTTTCCCTGGCCTCTTCTTTTCCCTTCTTGTCTGTTAATTGGTCTTCTAAATCACTAATTGGTTCTTCTGCCTTGCTTACCCTAGCTGTTAGATTATGTGTATTAGATTGGATCTCATTGATAGCATTTTTAAGTTCTGCCAGTTCAGCTTTCATTTCTACCTTTAGAGACTCTATGTTGCCATTGATCATTTTCTCCCTTCTAGCTATTGTCTTCACAACTGCTACCCTGAATTCCATTTCCGACATCTTGGTTATATCTGTATCCATTTGTAAATCTGTGGCAGAAGTCACAGTCTCTGAGTCTTCCCTATTTTGGGTGTTCCTCCTCCTAGTCATGTTGTTGAGGGGTAGTTGAGGGAGTGTAGAGAGTCCAAATTATTGACCACAACCCAAGCAAGATGCACCTGTTTTATAGGGCCCTTAGGGTTGTTGGCCAATTGTTCTCCCAGCCTGTCTTCTGGGGGAGGAGCTTGCCGTGCTGTTACTCAGGCAACCCTGTTTCCGCAGAGTTGCCCTGCCCTCTGTGGGGGGGATGGGCTCAGTGAAAATCGTTTTTATGGGGCTTTTGTTCTCTGGCGGCTTCCCTAGTGGCTTTCTGTGTCTCTTCCAAGAGTCAGAGCAGAAGAAATCATTTTCAACCCTCTCCCTCAGAGCAGAGAGATTGCCATCTGTTCTTCAGTGAGCTCTCCAGGCCACACTATCTGGTTTCTGTCTGTGCTGCTATAAACCACAGCATCCTGGGTTGTGCGCCCGTCAGCCAGGCTCCCAGTCCTTGCTTCCAGAAGGGCAGAGATGGGAGCACATCTCTGCCCTTCTGTGCTTCTAAAACCGCCAGCCGCTCCCAGTTCACATGCGTGTCCCCGCCAGCTGCTCCAGGTTTCAGTCTGGGGCTGCCCTAAGGTCCTTTTCTGCTGCTACCAGTCTGCGAGTCTGTGCCCTATCCCCAGCGTGGGAGGCTTTTGCTCACCAGTGGTGCAAGAGCCCCATTGTTCCCTCCCCCTTCCATTTATATTCCAATATCTGTCCTCGGAATCACAGCTCCCTGCTTCATACCTCAAAACCAATCGCCAGGGATATTCTGTTTGTAGAGATCCAGATATATCTTCTTACATCTCAGGCTGATTTCGTTGGTGTTCAGTGGTCTGGTGGATATCCAGCTCAATTCAGGGGACTGGTTGGAAAAGGGTCCCCTACTCCTCCACCATCTTTTTCTCTTCCCCTAAATGTACATTTTTTTATTAGATGGAGAATTATCATCTGGACACCACTGTTGGAACACAGTATACTACCAATTATTCACAAATGATGACTCATCCCAAGAGATATACCAGATGGCCTTCTTATCCTCAGTACTGGATACAACAAGTACATTTGAATTTTACCATCAGACAAGTTTTGTTTTCTGTTTTTCATTTTTTGCAGGTTTTTTTTTTTCCTGGAGAGTGGGAATTGGTCTTTCCATGTCAATGCACCTATTTTCTATGACCTTATTATGTTAAGTTTTACTTGGATGGGGGAGGACCCGTTACTTAGGGATATTGAACTTCTCCTAAGTGTCCAATGATCCAAATGTTCTCTTCTTCTTGAGCATTTCAAGACCCCAATAATTAGTGAGTCTGAATATTTTTCAAAATGACAGTAATGAACCTCCATACTGTTTTCCAGAGTGGCTGCACCAGTTTGCATTCCCACCAACAAGAGAGTTTTAGGGTTCACCTTTCTCCATATCCTCACCAACACCTGTTGTTTCTTGTGTTAATTTTAGTTATTCTGATAGTTGTGAGGTGCTATCTCATTGTAGTTTTGATTTGCATTTCCCTGATGGTCAGTGACGTTGAGCATCTTCTCATGTGTCTGTTGGCCATCTGGATGTCTTCTTTGGAAAAACGTCTATTCATGTCTTTTTTTTTTTTTTTTTGCAGTTCAGTTCTTTTTTATTTTTTTTTTAAAGATTTTATTTATTTATTCTTCAGAGACAGAGAGAGAGAGAGAGAAAGAGAAGCAGAGGGAGAAGCAGGCTCCCAAGGAGCAGGGAGCCCGATGTGAGACTCGATCCCAGGACCCTGGGATCATGACCTGAGCCGAAGGCAGATGCTTAACCATCTGAGCCACCCAGGCGCCCCAGTTCTTTTTTATTATTTATTATTTATTTTATTATTTTGTTATGTTAGTCACCATAGAGCACTTCATTAGTTTTTGACGTAGCATTCCATGATTCATTAGTTATGTATATTCTTTTTTTAACCTGATTATTTGTTTTTTGGGTGCTGAGTTTTATAAGTTCTTTATAGATTTTGGATAGAAGCCCTTTTTCTGCTAAGTCATTTGCAAATATCTTCTCCCATTCCATAGGTTGCCTTTTAGTTTTGTTGATTGTTTCCTTCACTATGCATAAGCTTTTTATCTTGATAATGTTCCAATAGTCTGGTTTTGCTTTTTTTTCCCCTTGCCTCAGGAGACATATCTAGTAAGATGTTGCTACAGCCAATGTCAGAGTTTGGTGCCTTGTTCTCTTCTATGATTTTAATGGTTTCCTGTCTCACACTTAGGTCTTTCATCCATTTTGAGTTTATTTTTGTGCATGGCACAAGAAAGTGGTCCAGTTTCATTTTTCTGCATGTTGCTGTCCAGTTTTCCCAAAACCATTTGTTGAAGACACTGTCTTTTGTCCATCAGATATTCTCTCCTGCTTTGTCAAAGATTAGTTGACCATACAGCTTTGGGTCCATCTGGGTTTTCTATTCTGTTCCACTGATCTATGTGTCTGTTTTTATGTCAATATCACACTGTCTTGATGACTATAGCTTTATAATATAACTTGAAGTCTGGAATTGTGTTGTCTTCTGCTTTGCTTTTCTTTTTCAAGATTGCTTTGGTTATTTGGGGTCTTTTGTGGTTCCATACAAAGTTTAGGATTGTTTATTCTAGCTCTGAAAAATGCTGATGGTATTTTGATAGGGATTGCCTTAAAGGTGTAGACTGATTTTGATAATATAGCCATTGTAACAATATTTGTTCTTCCAATCCATGAGCATGGAATGGTTTTCCATTCCTTTGTGTCGATTTCAATTACTTTCATAAGTGTTTTACAGTTTTCAGATCACAGGTTGTTTACCTCTTTAGTTAGGTTTATTCCTAGATATCTTACGGGTTTTGGCGCAATTGTAAATGGGATTGGTTCCTTAATTTCTCTTTCTGCTGCTTCATTATTGGTGTATAGAAATGCAACTTACTTCTGTGCATTGATTTTATATCCTGCAACTCTGCTGAATTCCTGTATCAGTTATAGCAATATTTGGGTGGTGTCCCACATCAGGCTCCCTGCTCAGCAGGGAGTCTGCCTCTCTCTCTGACCCTCCCCCCTCTCATGCTCTCTATCTCATTCTCTCTCTTATATAAATAAATAAAATCTTTAAAAAAAATATTTGGGTGGAGTCTTTGGGTTTTCTATATAGAGCATCATGTCATCTGAAAAAAGTGAAAGTTTGATTTTTTCCTTGCCAAGTTGGATGCGTTTTATTGCTTTTGTTGTCTGATTGCTGTGGCTAGGATTTGCGAGGCTATGTTAACTAAAAGCAGTGAGACAGGATATCCCTGTCTTGTTCTTCAAAAAGTTAAAAATAGAACTACCTTATGATCCACAATTGCACTACTAGGTATTTACCCAACGAATACAAAAATATCAATTTGAAGGGATATATGCACCCCAATGTTTATAGCTGCATTATCTACAATAGCCAAATTATGGAAACAACACAAATGTGCAATGACTCATGAATGGATAAAGAAGATGTGGTATATATATATATATATATATATATATATATATATATATATATATATATATATATAGTGGAATATTATTCAGCCATAAAAAAGAATGAAGTCTTGCCATTTGCAATGACATGGATGGAGCTAGAGAACATAATGCTAAGGTGAAATGTCAGTAAGAGAAAGACAAATACCATATGATTTCACTCATATGTGTAATTTAAGAAAAAAATGAGCAAAGGAAAAAAGAGAGAGAGAGACAAAGCAAGAAGTAGACTCTTACCTACAGAGAACAAATTGATTGTTGCCAGACAGGAGGGGGTGAGGAGATGGGTTAAATATGTGATGAGGCTTAAGGAGTGCACTTGTGATGAGCACAGGATGCTGTATGTAAGTGTTGAATCACTAAATTGTACACCTAATACTAATATTACATTGTATGTTAACTAATGAATTTAAATAAAACTTTAAAAAATGACAATGATTTTTCATAGATTAAATAACAGAAAAGTTTTTTTTATCAAAGAATGGTTTATTTCTAGATTATATTGGTGCAAGTTAACCCTGGGGAGACATTCACCATCAAGTCTGATGACGGGAACATTCAGAATATCCAAGGTCAGTAGAAGTATAATTTGGTGTGTGTTTCTTGAAAGCAAATAGAGTAAATTTAAATATTAGTATGAAATGACTTTACTAGTAATCTATTCCATTAGTATCCCTTCCCATTTGGGCCATATGGAATCCTCTTAAAATTATATAGTCCTCATAGGAGCATAGTATCAATATAACAACCAGGGCTCATGTTGCTAGTCTTACTAGAGATCTTCATGTAAGTTACTTTTTTAAAATTGAAGATTAATTCAGGAATTTCATTTGAAAAAGTTCACATCTGGGATATACTGACAGCCACTAATAGTTTTAGACTCTTCTCTTATAGGAGATGACTACTGAGGCCTTCAGAGAGCTCATTCATACATTCAAGTATTTTTTTAGTGCCTATCATGTTCTAACACTATACTAGGTATTCAAGATATAACAATATACAGGAGGAGGATAAATTATTTATATATACATATTAGTTTGCTATATATATGTATACATAGTAATATAAAATTAATATTTACTTCATATAAGACTTAGTATTATTCATATTGTGATGGTTGTTTTTGTTCTTATGCCAATTATTTTGTATCCTGAAGTGTTTTAGATCTATGTCTCAAAAATTTTTTAAAACATTGTCATTTTTTTAAAAAATTATCATTTAGCAATGGATTCCATATGGCTGCTATATAAAGTTTATTGTAAATTCATATTTATTATTTTCCCCATTATTAAAAGGAAATTACCATTCTAGGACTTGAGAGCCACATATATTTTTTAAACTAAGCAGTAATTTTAATAATTTCAGGAAAACAAAAGAAAGATGACTCCCAAAAGTTTCCATTCTGTGTAGGATTTTTATTTTTATTCCTGTGCAATTGTATGTCTAAGACAGTAAAAATACCTAGTATAAAAGTAGGGTATCACATGAGTAGCATTGGGTCCTTGTCTATATTATTCTGTTTTCTAAAAACTTTTACTTTATTATTATCAATGAAAAGCTTAAAATTAATATTTTATTATGTAACATCACGAAAAGAAATATATTTTATGGTTCAGAGTAAAACTTCTATTACTCAGTCTATACACAAGTAAAAGAACAATGTACTGGAAAGCTGATACTTCATTGTTATAAGCAGTAAAATTTGCCAGTGTTCTTATAATGTAAATTTTACCCAATCCCCTTTATGTGCTTTATTCTCCATCAATTGTGATGAATTTGCATTGATTCATCTACATTTATACCTAGTTTCCTTTGCAAGTAAGCAACAGACACTGAAAATGGCTGGCTGCGTAGAGCTGGTTTTCACTGTGAAAAGTTAAACAGACTTTAAAGTTATTAAAGAATTTTTAAATTTTTTTGAATTAACATATAATGTATTATTTGTTTCAGGACTAAAGGTCTGTGATTCATCAGTCTTAAAAAGTGCACAGCGCTCACCATAGTACATATCTTCCCCATTTTCCATCACCCAGCCACCCCATCCCTCCCACCCCCTCCACTCCAGCAACTCTGTTTGTTTCCTGAGATTAAGAGTCTCTTATGGTTTGTCCCCCTCTCTGGTTTCATCTTTTTTCATTTTTACTCCCTTTCCCTATGATCCTCTGTCTTGTTTCTCAAATTCCTCATATCAGTAAGATATGATACTTGTCATTCTCTAATTGACTTATTTTACTTAGCATAATACTCTCTAGTTCCATCCATGTCACTGCAAATGGCAAGATTTCATTTTTTGATGGCTGCATAATACTCCATTGTAGACATATACCACCTCTTCTTTATCCATTCATCTGTTGATGGACATCTAGGCTCTTTCCATAGTTTGGCTATTGTGGACATCGCTGCTATAAACTTTGCAGTGCATGTGCCCCTTCAGATCACTACATTTGTATCTTTGGGGTAAATACCCAGTAGTGCAATTGCTGTGTCGTAGGGTAGCTCTATTTTCAACTTTTTGAGGAACCTCCACATTGTTTTCCAGAGTGGCTGCACCAGCTTGCATTCCCACCAACATTGTACGAGGGTTCCCCTCTCTCTGCAACCCCACCAACATCTGTTGTTTCCTGACTTGTTAATTTTAGCCATTCTGACTGGTGTGAGGTGGTATCTCATTGAGGTTTTGATTTGGATTTCCCTGATGCCGAGTGATGTTGAGCACTTTTTCATGTGTCTGTTGGCCATTTGGATGTCTTCTTTGGGAAAATATCTGTTCATGTCTTCTGCCCATTTCTTGACTGGATCATTTGATCTTTGGGTGCTGAGTTTAATAAGTCCTTTATAGATTTTGGAAACTAGCCCTTTAGCTGATATGTCATTTGCAAATATCTTCTCCCATTCTGTTTTTGGTTTTGTTGACTGTTTCTTTTGCTGTGCAAAAGCTTTTTATCTTGATGAAGTCCCAATAGTTCATTTTTGCCCTTGTTTCCCTTTCCTTTGGCGATGTTTCTAGGAAGAAGTTGCTGCAGCTGAGGTCGAAGAGGTTGCTGCCTGTGTTCTCCTCAAGGATTTTGATGGACTCCTGTCTCACATTTAGGTCTTTCAACCATTTTGAGTCTATTTTAGTGTGTGGTGTAAGGAAATAGCCCAGTTTCATTCTTCTGCATGTGGATGTCCAATTTTCACAACACCATTTGTTGAAGAAACTGTCTTTTTTCCATTGGACATTTTCCTGCTTTGTCGAAGATTAGTTCGGGTTCTCTATTTCTGGTTCTTTGAAAGACTCAGTAAGATTGATAAACCCCTCGCCAGACTATTCAAAAAGAAAAGAGAAATGACCCAAATAAACAAAATCATAAATGAAAGAGGAGAGATCACAACCAACTGGGTTCTCTATTCTGTTCCATTGATCTATGTGTTTGTTTTTGTGCCAGTACCATGCTGTCTTGATGATGACAGCTTTGTAATAGAGCTTGAAGTCCAGAATTGTGATGCTGCCAGCTTTGCTTTTCTTTTTCAACATTCCTCTGGCTATGCAGGGTCTTTTCTGGTTCCATACAAATTTTAGGATTGTTTGTTCCATTTCTTTTGAAAAAGTGGATGGTATTTTGATGAGGATTGCATTGAATGCATAGATTGCTCTAGGTAGAATTGACATCTTCACAATATTTGTTCTTCCAATCCATGAGCATGGAACGTTTTTCCATTTCTTTGTGTCTTCCTCAGTTTCTTTCATGAGTATTCTATAGTTTTCTGAGTACAGATCCTTTGCCTCTTTGGTTAGATTTATTCCTAGGTATCTTATGGTTTTGGGTGCAATTGTAAATGGGATCGACTCCTTAATTTCTCTTTCTTCTCTCTTGTTGTTGGTGTATAGGAATGCCACTGATTTCTGTGCATTGATTTTATATCCTGCCACTTTACTGAATTCCTGTATGAGTTCTAGCAGTTTTGGGGTGGGGTCTTTTGGGTTTTCCACATAAAGTATTATATCATCTGCAAAGAGTGAGAGTTTGACTTCTTCTTTGCCAATTCGGATGCCTTTTATTTCTTTTTGTCTGGTTGCTGGGGGTAGGACTTCTAATACTATGTTGAACAGCAGTGGTGATATGGACATCCCTGCCGTGTTCCTGACCTTAGAGGGAAATCTCTCAGTTTTTTCCCATTGAGAATGATATTCGCTGTGGGTTTTTCATAGATAGCTTTTATGATATTGAGGTAGGTACACTCTATGCCTATACTCTGGAAAGTTTTGATCAAGAAAGGATGCTATACTTTGTCAAATGCTTTTTCTGCATCTATTGAGAGGATCATATGGTTCTTGTTCTTTCTTTGATTAATGTATTGTATCACATTGATTGATTTGAGGATGTTGAACCAACCTTGCAGCCCAGGGATAAATCCCACTTGGTCGTGGTGAATAATCCTTTTAATGTACTCTTGGATCCTATTGGCTAGTATTTTGGTGAGAATTTTTGCATCCATGTTCATCAGGGATATTGGTCTGTAATTCTCCTTTTTGATGAGGTCTTTGTCTGGTTTTGGGATCAAGGTAATGGTGGCCTCAAAGAATGAGATTGGAAGTTTTCCTTCCATTTCTATTTTTTGGAATAGTTTCAGAAGAATAGGTATTCATTCTTCTTTAAATGTTTGGCAGAATTCCCCTGGGAAGCCATCTGGCCCTGGGATCTTGTTTGTTGGGAGATTTTTGATGACTGCTTCCATTTCCTTAGTGGTTATAAGTCTGTTCAGGTTTTCTATTTCTTCCTGGTTCATTTTTGATAGTTGATACATCTCTAGGAATGCCTCCATTTCTTCCAGATTATCTAATTTGCTGGCATAGAGTTACTCATAATATGTTCTTATAATTGTTTGAATTTCTTTGGTGTTGGTTGTGATCTCTCCTCTTTCATTTATGATTTTTTTTATTTGGGTCATTTCTCTTTTCTTTTTGAATAGTCTGGCGAGGGGTTTATCAATCTTACTGAGTCTTTCAAAGAACCAGCTCCTAGTTTCATTGATCTGTTCTACTGTTCTTTTGGTTTCTATTTCATTGATTTCTGCTCTAATCTTTATTATTTCTTTTCTCCTGCTGGGTTTAGGCTTTATTTGCTGTTCTTTCTCCAGCTCCTTTAAGTGTAGGGTTAGGTTGTGTATTTGAGACCTTTCTTGTTCTTTGAGAAAGGCTTGTTTTGCTATATACTGTCCTCTTAGGACTGCCTTTGCTGCATCCCAAAGATTTTGAACAGTTGTGTTTTGATTTTCATTGGTTTCCATGAATTTTTTTAATTCTTCTTTAATTTCCTGGTGACCCATTCATTCTTTAGTAGGATGCTCTTTAGCCTCCATGTATTTGAGTTCTTTCCGACTTTCCTCTTGTGATTGAGTTCTAGTTTCAAAGCATTGTGGTCTGAAAATAGGCAGGGAATGATCCCAATCTTTTGGTACTGGTTGAGACCTGATTGGTGACCCAGGATGTGATCTATTCTGGAGAATGTTCCATGGGCACTCAAGAAGAATGTGTATTCTGTTGCTTTGGGATGGGATGTTCTGAATAGATCTGTGAAGTCCATCTGGTCCAGTGTGTCTTTTAAAGCTTTTATTTCCCTGTTGATCTTTGCTCAGATGATCTGTCCATTTCAGTGAGGGGTGTGTTAAACTCCCCTACTATTATTGTATTATTGTCAATGTGTTTCTTTGATTTTGTTATTAATTGGCTTATGTAACTGGCTGCTCCCATGTTAGGGGCATAGATATTTACAATTGTTAAGATATTCTTGTTGGATAGACCCTTTAAGTATGATGTAGTGCCCTTCCTCATCTCTTATTAGAGTTTTTGGTTTAAAATCTAATTTGTGTGACATAAGGATTGCCACCCCAGCTTTCTTTTGATGTCCATTGGCATGGTAAATGGTTTTCCACCACGTTACTTTAAATCTGGATGGTCTAAAATGAGTCTCTTGCAGATAGCATATCCCTGGTCTTTTTTTTTTTTTTATCCGATCTGATACTCTGTGTCTTTTGATTGGGGCATTTAGCCCATTTACATTCAGGGTAACTATTGAAAGATAGGAATTTAGTGCCATTGTATTGCCTGTAAGGTGACTTACTGTATATTGTCTCTGTTTCTTTCCGGTCTATGTTACTTTTAGGCTCTTTCTTTGCTTAGAGGTTCCCTTTCAATATTTCTTGTAGGGCTGGCTTGGTGTTCACAAATTCTTTTAGTTTTTGTTTGTCCTGTAAGTTTTTTTTATCTCTCCTATTTTCAATGATATCTTAGCTGGATATAGTATTCTTGGCTGCATATTTTTCTCATTTAGTGCTCTGAATATATCATGCCAGTCCTTTCTGGCCTGCCAGGTCTCTGTGGAGAGGTCTGTTGCCAACCTAATATGTCTACCATTGTAGGTTACAGACCTCTTGTCCTGAGCTGCTTTTAGGATTTTCTCTTTGTCTCTGAGACTTTTAAGTTTTATTACTAGATGTTGAGGTGTTGACCTATTTTTATTGATTTTGAGGGGGACTCTGTGCCTCCTGGATTTTGATGCCTGTTTCCTTCCCCAAATTAGGGAAGTACTCTGCTATAATTTGTTCCAATATACCTCTGCCCCTCTTTCTCTTTCTTCTTCTTCTGGGAAACAATTATTCTAATATTGTTTCACCTTATGGTATCACTTATCTCTTGAATTCTCCCCTCGTGATCCAGTAGTTTTTATCTCTCTTTTTCTCAGCTTCTTTATTCACCATTTGGTCTTCTAGATCACTAATTCTCTCTTCTGCCTCATTTATCCTAGCAGTTAGAGGCTCCATTTTTTTATTGCACCTCATTAATAGCCTTTTTAATTTCAACTTGGTTAGACTTTTATTTCTCCAGAAAGCGATTCTTTAGTAACTTCCATGCTTATTTCAAGCCCAGCTAGTATCTTTATAATTGTCATTCTGAACTCTAGTTCTGACATCTTACTAATGCCGTATTGATTAGGTCCCTGGCAGTCAGTACTGCCTCTTGGTCTTTTTTTGGAGGTGAGTTTTTCCATCTTTCCATTTTGTCCAGAGGAGAATAGATGAATGAGAGAACGAAATGCTAAAAGGGTAACAACAACCCCAGAGAAATATACACTAAACAAATCAGAAGAGACCCAAACTGGGGAGTAAAAGGAAAAAAAAGAAAGAAAGAATATGATCATGCTGGTGAATAGAACAGAGCCACACACTAGATTTTCAGTGTATTTTGGTCTGTTAGAAGAAACTGCCTCCCAAAATTTAAAGAAAGAAAAATTTATATATATATACAAAAATAAGGGTAAATACAATGAAGGGATGGAATATGACTATAAAGATGAAAATTTAAAAAGATTTTTAAAAAGGAATTGATAAGATTAAAAGTTGGTTGAATAAAGAACGAAAAAAATTTATAAAAAAGAGAATTTGATCAGGCGGGAAACTAGGACATTGTCACACTAGATCTAGGGTATATTTTGGTCTGTTAGAAGAAACTGTATCCCAAAATTTTAAAGAAAGAAAAACTTATATATATACAAAAAATAAGGTTAAATATGACTGTAAAAATTAAAATTAAGATTTTTAAAAAGGAATTGATAAGATAAGATGTTTGTTGAAAAAGAAAGAAGAAAAATTCAACTAAAAATTAGAAAAAGAAAAAAATAATGAAAATTTTAAAAATTAATTTTGAGAGGCAAAAAATTCATGGGGAAAAGAGCCATGTATTCTATTTGCTGAATTCCCCTAGTGCTGGGGTTTTGCCATTCTCATTGATCAGTAAACTTGGTCTTGGCTGGCAGTTCTTGCTGATCTTCTGGGGGAGGGGGCCTGTTGCAGTGATTCTCAAATGTCTTTGCCTGAGGCGGAATTGCACTGCCCTTGCCAGGGGCCACGATAAGTAATCTGCTGGGGTTTGCTCTCGGGAGCTTTTGTTCCCTGAAAGCTTTCCGTACAGCTTTGGGGGATGTGAAAATGGCAGCCTCCCAATGTCTCATCCTGGAAGAGCCAAAAGCTCGGGGCCCCACTCCTCAGTGAGCCCTCATAGAAAAGCAGTCAATCACTCATGTTTCCCTGGTCTCCAGCCACACTCCATGTTCACCCAGCCCGTGACCAAGTGTTTCTATCTCCCCCAGCACATGACCCCCTTTGGAGTCTCCAAACCCAGCAGATTCCTGTGGTGCGCTCCCATGCTGCTCCTCCTGGGGGAGGAAGGGGAATCTCCCTGGATCTGCTGCTTGTTGGGTCCCGGCTCAAAGACTAGTGGCCAGACTGTGCCACAGATCATGGTTTATGGCAACCCTGAGCTGAGAGCCCACTCCTTGGCTCCATCTTTGCAGCCGGCTTCCCCACTCTGATACCTGGGAGTTCTGCCACACTCAGGCACCCCTGGTCTTCCTGTGACCCCAAGGATCCTGAGACCACACTGTCCCAGCAAGGGTTCCACCCCCCACTTAGCCACTAGAGCAACGTCCCTCAGCAGAGCAGACTTCTGAAAGTTCTGATTTTGTGCTCTGTTGCTCTATCACTTGCTGGTAGCTGGCTGATGGAGGCTCCCTCCCCCCGCAGTCTATCTTCCCAAATATCGCCTCAGATTCCCTTATCCACATGTCCTACCTTCCAGAAAGTGGTCACTTTTCTGTTCATAGAATTGCTGCTATTCTTTTCCTCAAATCCTGTTGAGTTTGTAGGTATTCAGAATGGTTTGATACCTAACTAGCTGAATTCCTGGGCCCAGACGAAATTTAGGTCTCCTACTCCTCTGCCATCTTGCTCCTCCTGCTCCTATTAAAGAATTTATTAATAATAATTTTCTTTTAGGACCCGCTGATGTACCTCTGATGTCACCAAGTGGTTATTTGCCACCAATATATCTTCCTCCTGGTTACATGTCTCAGGTATATGAGTATGGTTTTATTTAGTATTTAGCCCTAAGGCATCATTTAACAGTTATTATGTCACTATATGATAAATCTTCTGAAATACTATTTAGTTGTTCATTTTGTTATCATTACTGCTAAAAAGCAATTGCAGTTAAGCTTAACCAAATCTCCCTTGGATTGTCTTGTAAATAATTCCTTATTCATCTAATGAATTTGCATCTCATCATATTCATTAATCCTCTATTGTTTTTTGTTTCTGAGTACCTTAACCAATCTTGATTACCTATTACAATTGCTACAGTAATGGCTTTTGATAGTGTGTATGCTTTAGTCCCTACAATTACGTATTTTCAGTTCAGTAGTATTTCATTCTCAGTTGCTGGGCAACAAAGGGCACTTTTTAAAAAATTCTTCAAATATTTACCAAGCACCTAAAATGGACAGGGAAATATTTCTCCTATAGACATCAACAAGATATTTCGTGGTCTTGAAATTTTATAATTGAGAATATGTCTTTTTCTATTGCACAGCTGTGGAAATCAATAACATGCTAAATAAATCAATATATAGTTTGATTCTAAATGGAATTATCTATTTCAACAATATCTAACAAAAATACAAATGCATATTCCTTTTCATCTAGCAATTCCACTTTGAGGAATTTATCCTACAGATGTGTTTTTCACAAATTTGGAATAATCAATATACAAGATTATTCATTACAATATTGTTTGTGATCATAGAAGGCTGCAAACAACCCACACACTTGTCAATGGAGGACTGTGTACAATGGAGGACATCCATATAATGGAGTACAATGCAGCTGTGCAAAAAAGTGGGGAAGTTTTATGTACTGACATAGAAAGATCTTTAAGATATGTTGCTAAGTGTAAAAAGCAAGGTACAGATGGTAATAGTGCAAATAAGGCTACTTTTTATGTAATAAAAAGGAAAAATAAGAATCTGTATTCTTGCTTATATAGACAAATTCTGGAAGGATTCCTAAGAAACTAAGAGCAATAGTTATCTAACGGGGGCATTGAGCAGATAAGATTTAGGAGGGAAATTTTACATGTATAGCTTTTTATACTTTATGGTTTTAAACAAAGTCAATATATTATCTATTGTCAAAAAATTACCTTTTTGAAAGCCATACATATAGAGACAAGGAAGAATTGTCTTTTGCTTGACCTAGTTTCACTTAGTTATTACTTTTTGATCCCTTGGGTTTTCTAAATTAAGAGCACAGGATATAAATCTAAAACTTAGTTTAAAAAAATGACAAATTTTATTAATTCTGTTTATATGGTTCTGTCTTCCAACTTAGGTGGTGGAAGAAAATGGCATTCACAAAATTATCATTGTGCCTCAGACAATTGACTATCATACAGCCATGCCTGCTCCTCTACAACAAGTACCACACTTCATTGGCCTGTCCTCTCCTATGTATCAACAAGGGCCTCACCTGATGTATCCCCCAGCTCAAGGGGAATATCCACCGCCTTACATCCAAGAGCCTTTGCTGCAGCAGCTGCCACCACCACTGCTGCCACTGCCACTGCTGCTACCGCCACTGCTGCTACTGCCACTGCTGCCACCAGCACTGCTTCCACCACCACCTATGCTACCACCAGCAACATTTATATACCAAGAGCAGCATGGTAGTATATAATTTTCTTAAACAGGAAATATTTTGAGTTTGTAAAAATTAAGAGCATTGGGAAATTAAGTGAAAAAAGTAGAAAGTAGTAACGTTTCCCTGAATGACTGCATTTCATGCATGTATATTAGGTTTAATGAAAATAAGCACTGGTTCGTGTTTAAGGCAAAATACTCATAAACATAATTTTCTATATATTTTTGTACTTTGATATAACATTGATTTATGATATTTATTTTTACTGAGTGGGTCTATAAAATCATATTGGAACATTATAAAAGAATGTTTAGATTATGAATGCCATACAGTGGGAATATAAAAGACACTGAAGGGTCAACATTAAAGTCATCTTAGGACCTTAAAATTTGGAAGTGGAGTTACTCCCTAGGAAAATAGTATCTGTATTTGCTCATGTTTTTCTTTCTGTACATATCAATACATTATAAAAATACATACCTAATATCTGTATTAAAGCAAAACAGGAAAAAATTTAAAAGTAAAACATGGCTTATCAGTGCTTTTTTTTTTTTTTTGGTTTGAAGAAAAGATTAAAAAGACCTTGAGATATGTAATTATTATAATTATTAAGCAGTACTCCATTGTCTCTTTTAGAAATGTATTCCCATAGAAGAGGAAATTATAACCAGTTTGATGAAAGGGCTGCTAACATGGGAGAACATATGAAGAAAAAAATGAGAGAAGGCCAGCTTGGTGGACACAAGACTAGCTGTACAGTCAACAACACCTCTTTGCTTGTGAACAAAACCAATGATTTTTCAAGTATTCCTGCTACTTCAAACACTTACACAGTGGACTATGCTGCAAGTACCTGCACTGTTGACAATACCATGAGCACCTGCACTGTGGAGAATGCTCCACACACCTACACTGTTGACAGTGCATCAAATACCTACACTGTAGACAATGCTACAAGCACTTACACTGTGGACAATGTTCCATGCACCTACACTGTGGAAAATACTTTGAGCACCAACACTGTCGAAAATACTTTGAGCACTTATACTGTGGACAAAGCTCCATGTGCCTACACTTTGACCAATGCTCAGGACATTTACATTGCTGACACTGTTGACAACCCTCCAAGCACTCACATTGCTGACAATACTCCCAGCAATTCTTCCACTGACCATACCCCTAGTACTTCCACCACAGACAATGTTCTTCCTTCCACCACTGATAGTGTTCCAGACCCTTCCAGCACTAATTATGTCCCCAGTACTTCCACTTCTGACAGTACTCCCAGACCACCAGCTATTGACAGCACTCCAAGCTCTTCCGTTTCTGACCATGCTCCCAACATTCCCATCTCTGAGAGTGCTCCCAGCACTTCTGCCATTGATGATGCTCTCAGTGCTGCCAGTGCTGCCAGCAATTCCAACACTGCTAGTGCTCATGTTGAGACTAGTCAGGGAAAGAAATGGAGTGCTGCAGGAAGTGGAGGCATCAAGAAGAAACCAGGTGGAAAACAAAGCAAGAGCCCATCATCAAATGCTGCAGAAAAAGGTAAGGTCAGGAGTTTGGTTTTGTTGGCAATGAATAAACATCCTAATGTTTAGGAATCTCAGTGCATCTTAAATATTTAAGTGTCATTTTGTTTCCATTTCCTCTTGTCCTCATTGTACCCCTAAATCTAAACTCAGTGAAACCACAGTTGGGCTGCCTTTTTAAATCATGGAGAAATGACCATCCTCATGCAAAATGTGTCATGTATCTTACATGCACACCACGTAATTCTTTTCTAGCTGTCTGCCAGTGAAACACTGCAAATTACTCTATAGTCCTAATGAATTCACATTATTTCATTTAAACGAGGGACTCTGTCTTTTGTTAGAGTTTGTTTAATAACATACACTTTAGACTGCTCTCTTCTTTTAAAATTTTAGTGTAAATCGCTACTAGGTTTTTAGTAGCTCTCCTGATGATGATGTATCTGTAGTTGGATGATAGACATCTAACTTCTTTCTCTTGTTTTTACCAATGTAATATTTTATTTTGGGGTGTTTTCTTTTAGAATGCATAACAGAACATGGAAAGTCATGCTGTTTCAGCATTGAAAAACCTGTAGTAAGTAACTAAAGTGAATATTTAAGTATTCCTTTTAATTTACTTTTTCATTCTAAAATATGCAAGTTCACTGATATTTTTCTCTAGTAAAGTTTTAATTTGAAGCCTTTACCTGGTTAAAATTTCTAATCTCCATTAGCTATTCAGTACATAAAGATTCAGAATGGTATTATTAAAGATAATATTGATGACATTGCTTAACCACAGTATTTAAGCACCTATATGAGGAGAACAATATATTTAGCATCAAAAAGACTTAGGGAAAGATTATATCATAAATTACAGATTATATATTTTAAATGCCCTACTTGACTTTTTGTTATTTATTTTAGGTTTCTGATATTCAAACCAGATCTGCTATTATTTCATGGAAACTACGTGGTTCTGAGAAATGTGATCACACCAAATCTCCCATGACATTTGAACTGGCAATATCTAACAGTGGTAAAAATGGAAAATATAAAAATGTATATATGTAAGTTTCTTTTTATTCATTTCTCATTTCTCATAATTCAATTCACATATGCTATCTAAATGTATAGATCTCAACTTATACCTAGGCTGAGTTCTAAAGATTTTTTCTGCATTTTTTCCCAAGCTTTGAATGCAATTTTATATTAAAATAGTTTTATATATGGTGGGTGGTTGCCAGGTCAGTCCATGAAATTCACTGAACCATGTTAGTGCTGAGAAGGATCTTAACTATCAACTGGTCCATTCTCTTCAGTTTATAGCTTTCCTATTTGACAAGTTTAGACTCAGGGAAGAAAATGTTCCCTCCAATTCTCCCTTCTCTTTATTCACTTAGGTCATTTTAGGGGGGAAAAAAGTTTCACTTTATGGTAGGCTACACAAATGAGGTATTTACATTGCAATTGGATTTAAGATAGACTCCCCTGGAAATTTCATTACAGAAGCTAGTTATAAGGTGGAGCTATGATAGCAGCAGGATGAGCTTAGGAATGTGCTCAGAAGATACAACCAGAAAAAAAAAAAAGATAAAAAGATAGAACCAGGACTAGGGAGGATATGGTGGAGGACATAGCAAGAGCATACCCAACCACTCTGAACAAACAGCTTCTCGACTGAATGGGGACATGTATTCTGAAAGAGAACACACAGAGAGAGGCACAGTAGAAAGGAAATCCCAAGTGAGAAAGAAGAAATTCCTTTGCCCACCAAAAATTATGCAAGAAATAAGTCAGAGATCTGGAGCTGTCTCTACAGCACTTTAAAAATCATAATGCATCTTAAACTTCATTTCCTAGAATTTGTCATCTTTACTCAGAGACTCAAAGTGAAATTTTAAATGTAATTAGTTATTATGTAAAGTTTTACTTCCTTTATAATTAGAAGCTAGAAAATTTAAATTTAAGAATTATAATACACAATCTTCTATATTGGGTAGAGGGATGGGAAGATGTAAAATGTGAGGAAAAGTTACTTATAAAATTAAGTTTTGTAGGAGGTTACATGGTGGCCTTTGTCTGGTGTTATGTATTTCATAAATATCTTTGTTTTTTATAAAAACACTCTAATCACCCTATAACCTTGAGTGGCCTGTGCTTAGAAGTATCAGCCTTTGCTTAAAAATAATAATCTTTTAGCTCTTTTTGAAGGCTATTTCTGGGGTTAGAGCCTGAAAGAACTCTTTGAGTTGGTAGAGTACACCTAGGTACTTATGACTGTTTCAGGAAGACATAGATGTGGAAGCACAGCCACTCAATCCACTGTAGCAAATAGGTGCCCTCCCCAGAAAGATTTCCTTTTGTAATTGAATAAATAAATTGCATGATGCACAGTGTCTTTGAGGCTTTTCATATCAACATTATTTTTAATAAGCTAATTAAAGACAAATCTGCATTATTACAGTGTGAAGAAGTTGCAGCGGGAAAAATTATAAAATTTCACTTCATAAAGCCATAGTAATTTCACATGCAAATGAAGAATTTGAAGTATTAGTATCACTTTTTTGCATTCATAGAAAATGGGCTAAAGTTCTCTAAATTTCAAAGAAAATTGTGCTTCTTTGTTTATCACTTGAATATATAAGATTAGGACTGTTAGTTAGCTATTACATATTTGTGAGATCATTTATAAACAGATATTATGTTCACAGTGGTGATGGAGTAATATTTACTCTACTTGATCTACAACCATCCATGGCCTATTTCATAAGGTAAGAACTCCATCCTACACAACCCCCACTCACCCTTTAGCCAGGCAGACTCCCCGGTCTGTATCAGTTTACTACTTATGATTTCTACAGTCAGCATTGCTACTTGCCAGCAGAGTGGCCTATCCTTCATGCTTCAAAAGAGCCCCCTCCAAATCCCTCATTAGTTCACTTTCTTTCACTTAATACAGGTGAAAGAGTGATTTGGGAGCCATCACCAATAACAATCCAACTTGATTCTACTAGAAAATTCTGTATAATTAGCTCCTAATATGTACCAGGGAACTCAAGTATTCAATTTAGTACATGTAAGGATAAATATTTGAAAGCTTACAACAATTGTCATTACATTTTTAGAATTACAACCATAAGAAGCTCAGCACATAGAACTATGTCTGAAGTGGTTAGTTTCACAACTCCAGGTTGTGAACCAGACCCTCCACTTGCACCCAAACTAATTAACCGATCCAAGAGCAGCCTGAATTTACAGTGGAAAGTAAGTATTTTACTGCCAAAGTCTCCTCAACATGTTTTTTTTTTTTTTAAATTTAAAAACATTCTTTCTGGGGCACCTGGGTGGCTCAGTTGTTAAGTGTCTGCCTTCAGCTCAGGTCATGGTCCCAGGGTCCTGGGATCGAGGCCCATATCGGGCTCCCTGCTCAGCAGGAAGCCTTTTTCTCCCTCTCCCACTCCCCCTGCTTGTGTTCCCTCTCTCGCTGTGTCTCTCTCTGTCAAATAAATAAATAAAATCTTAAAAAAAAAAACATTCTTTCTACTTTGTCCTGAATTTTAAATATGAAATTATGCATGCCTCATCTGACCTATTTCCCTAGCACTTTTTGTTTTTCCATAATCATCTTTCTCTTCTATCTATATCGAGCATCAAGTAAATTGAGAAATGTCAATCATAATTTCAATTAGTAAAAGTTGAAGTGTCAATTTCTGTAACCTAAATTTATTTATAATTGTAGTTACCAATAATTCTACCTCTTATTTATTAACTTTCTTTATTACATAAAATTTGGAAAACAAAACAAGACATAGATTTTGGGTATGTCTTATAGACTGTAAAAAGTGCATTTTAACTTTAAAATCTGGATTGCTTTAAAAAAAAGTAAGCAGAGGGGCGCCTGGGTGGCTCAGTTGGTTAAGCGACTACCTTCGGCTCAGGTCATGATCCTGGAGTCCCGGGATCGAGTCCCGCATCGGGCTCCCTGCTCAGCGGGGGGTCTGCTTCTCCCTCTGACCCGCTTCCCTCTCGTGCTGTCTCTCATTCTCTCTCTCAAATAAATAAATAAAATCTTTAAAAAAAAAAGTAAGCAGATTAATTTTACAGTAATTTCAATCACTTTAATTACATAGTGTGTGTGTATGTACATATACTGTGTAAAAACAGACAATCATACTTTTATCTTTCTGACATATTTAGGGTTCCAATGATAATGGTTCCAAAATAAACAGCTTCCTTTTGGAATGGGATGAGGTAAACCATTTTATTTCTTAAAAGTACTTTTTTGTAAATGGTTATTAATGTTATGATGAATTTTTATACTTGCAGCATTTTATAATGTTCTAATATTTTGCATCTATTATTAAGGGCAAAGGTGAAGGCTTCAAAAGTTGCTATATGGGTACCATGAAACAACACAAGATCCTTAAACTGAATGCTTCTACAAAATATTCATTCAGACTAGCTGCCAAAAATAACTTTGGCTTGAGGTACATTGAATTATTGCAATATTTAAAAGTCTACACTTTAATAAGAACCTGAAAATAACTTTTCCATATTAATTTATTTTTCAGTGATTTCAGTGAAATAGCAATCTTCCATACATCAGGAACTATGCCTCCAACACCTCCACCTCCTAAGCTAAAAGAAGCAGGAGTCTGTAATTTGTCACTAGAATGGTGTGCCCCAACTAACACAAGCCCAAATGACAGTCTTACTTATGTACTAGAAATGGAAGAAGCAGGATCCGTAAGTTTTCTTTTCACATGCTTTAATCTTTAACTTCAGTTTTAGGTACATTTTACATGCATCTTATAATGAAAAATTTTAGATTTAAGTTAATTTCTTTTTTTAAGTTTTTATTTAAATTCCAGTTAGTTGGGACGCCTGGGTGGCTCAGTCTGTTAAGCATCTGCCTTCGGCTCAGGTCCTGATCCCAAGCTCCTGGAATCGAGCCCTGCATTGGGCTCCCTGCTCAGCGGGGAGCCTGCTTCTCCCTCTGCCTGCTGCTCCCCCTGCTTGTGCTTTCTCTCCCTGATAAATAAATAAATAAATAAATAAATAAATAAATAAATAAATAAATAAATTCCAGTTAGTTAACAGTGTAATATTAGTTTCAGGTGTACAATTTAGTGATTCAACGCTTAAATACAACACCCAGTGCTCATCACAACAAATGCCCTCATTAATCCCCATCACCTATTTCACCCATCCCCCCACCCACTTCCCTTCTGATAACCATCAGTTTGTTCTCTGTAGTTAAGAGTCTGTTTCTCAGTTGTCCTCTTTTTTTCGCTATGATTAAGCTAATTTCTACTCAATCAAACCACATGATTCCCAAGTCTCTGTTTTCAAGAGGGGACCAATGCTGAGCCAATGTTAGGCGAGCCAGTACAGGGAGTTCTGAAGGTACCTGAGTCCCGGAAGATTAGCTAAAAGCAGCAGCAGCCATAACAACACAACAGATACACAGTGAAGTGTGTTAGTTCTTCAACTTTGGGTCTATCCCAGATGACCTTGCATGGTCACACAGATCCTCTGCATACTTCTACCAGGGCAAACGCTTTCCTCATCTCCCTGGATTCCTGATGTGGGTGGGCAAACTGTTTTATTTTATTTATTTTATTTATTATTTTATTCTGAACTTTCAAGTCTATACTAAATAGGCTATTCAACTTAAAAGGCAGCTGTACATTTTAGGTTATGTACATTTTACCACATTTTATATAAAGCAACTAACATTGAAGAAGAGTTCTGTGTAATTAATATGTTAAGTGCCTTCATATACATTATCTCATTACATCCTGAAAAAAGGGAGACCTTTAAAGTAGAAAGTATCTCCATTTATTTTTTAATTTTTTATTCTTATGTTAATCCCCATACATTACATCATTAGTTTTAGATGTAGTGTTCCATGATTCATTGTTTGTGCATAACACCCAGTGCTCCATGCAGAATGTGCCCTCCTCAATACCCATCACCAGGTTAACCCATCCTCCCACCCCCCCCTCCCCTCTAGAACCCTCAGTTTGTTTTTCAGAGTCCAACGTCTCTCATGGTTCATCTACCCCTCCGATTTCCCACCCTTCATTCTTCCCCTCCTGCTAGCTTCTTCTTCTTCTTTTTTTTTTTTCTTACCATATATTGCATTATTTGTTTCAGAGGTACAGATCTGAGATTCAACAGTCTTGCACAATTCACAGCACTTACCAGAGCACATACCCTCCCCAGTGTCTATCACCTGGTCACCCCATTCCTCCCACCCCACCCCCCACTCCAGCACCATCAGTTTGTTTCCTGAGATTAAGAAATCCTCATATCAGTGAGATCATATGATACATGTCTTTCTCTGTTTGACTTATTTCGCTCAACATAATACCCTCCAGTTCCATCCACGTCATTGCAAATGGCAAGATCTCATTCCTTTTGATGGCTGCATAATATTCCATTGTATATATATACCACCTCTTCTTTATCCATTCATCTGTCGATGGACATCTTGGCTCTTTTCACAGTTTGGCTATTGTGGACATTGCTGCTATAAACATCGGGGTGCACGTACCCTTTCGGATCTCTACTTTCGTATCTTTGGGGTAAATACCCAGTAGTGCAATTGCTAGATCATATGGTAGCTCTATTTTCAACTTTTTGAGGAACCTCCACACTGTTTTCCAGAGTGGCTGCACCAGCTTGCATTCCCACCAACAGTGTAGGAGGGTTCCCCTTTCTCTGCATCCCCGCCAACATCTGTCATTTCCTGACTTGTTAATTTTAGCCATTCTGACTGGTGTGAGGTGGTATATCATTGAGGTTTTGATTTGGATTTCCCTGATGCCGAGCGATGTTGAGCACTTTTTCATGTGTCTGTTGGCCATTTGGATGTCTTCTTTGGGAAAATATCTGTTCATGTCTTCTGCCCATTTCTTGATTGGATTCTTTGTTCTTTGGGTGTTGAGTTTGATGAGTTCCTTATAGATTTTGGATACTAACCCTTTATCTGATATATCATTTGCAAATATCTTCTCCCATTCTGTCAGTTGTCTTTTGGTTTTGTTGACTGTTTCCTTTGCTTTGCAAAAGCTTTTTATCTTGATGAAGTCCCAATAGTTCATTTTTGCCCTTGCTTCCCTTGCCTTTGGCGATGTTTCTAGGAAGAAGTTGCTGCAGCTGAGGTCGAAGAGGTTGCTGCCTGTGTTCTCCTTTAGGATTTTGATGGACTCCTGTCTCACATTGAGGTCTTTCACCCATTTGGAGTCTATTTTTCTGTGTGGTGTAAGGAAATGGTCCAGTTTCATTCTTCTGCATGTGGCTATCCAATTTTCCCAACACCATTTGTTGAAGAGACTGTCTTTTTTCCATTGGACATTCTTTCCTGCTTTGTCGAAGATTAGTTGACAATAGAGTTGAGGGTCCATTTCTGGGCTCTCTATTCTGTTCCATTGATCTGTGTGCCTGTTTTTGTGCCAGTACCATGCTGTCTTGATGATGACAGCTTTGTAATAGAGCTGGAAGTCCGGAATTGTGATGCCGCCAGCTTTGCTTTTCTTTTTCAATATTCCTCTGGCTATGCCGGGTCTTTTCTGGTTCCATACAAATTTTAGGATTATTTGTTCCATTTCTTTGAAAAAAGTGGATGGTATTTTGATGGGGATTGCATTGAATGTGTAGATTGCTCTAGGTAGCATTGACATCTTCACAATATTTGTTCTTCCAATCCATGAGCATGGAATATTTTTCCATTTCTTTGTGTCATCCTCAATTTCTTTCATGAGTATTTTATAGTTTTCTGAGTACAGATCCTTTGCCTCTTTGGTTAGATTTATTCCTAGGTATCTTATGGTTTTGGGTGCAATTGTAAATGGGATCGACTCCTTAATTTCTCTTTCTTCTCTCTTGTTGTTGGTGTATAGGAATGCCACTGATTTCTGTGCATTGATTTTATATCCTGCCACTTTACTGAATTCCTGTATGAGTTCTAGCAGTTTTGGGGTGGAGTCTTTGGGGTTTTCCACATAAAGTATCATATCATCTGCAAAGAGTGAGAGTTTGACTTCTTCTTTGCCAATTCAGATGCCTTTGATTTCTTTTTGTTGTCTGATTGCTGTGGCTAGGACTTCTAGTACTATGTTGAATAGCACTGGTGATAGTGGACATCCCTGCCGCATTCCTGACCTTAGGGGTAAAGCTCTCAGTTTTTTCCCGTTGAGATTGATATTCGCTGTAGGATTTTCATAGATGGCTTTTATGATATTGAGGTATGTACCCTCTATGCCTATATTCTGAAGAGTTTTGATCAAGAAAGGATGCTGTACTTTGTCAAATGCTTTTTCTGCATCTATTGAGAGGGTCATATGATTCCTGTTCTTTCTTTTGTTAAAGTATTGTATCACGTTGATTGATTTGTGGATGTTGAACCAACCTTGCAGCCCAGGGATAAATCCCACTTGGTCGTGGTGAATAATCCTTTTAATATACTGTTGGATCCTATTGGCTAGTATTTTGGTGAGAATTTTTGCATCCATGTTCATCAGAGATATTGGTCTGTAATTCTCCTTTTTGATGGGGTCTTTGTCTGGTTTTGGGATCAAGGTAATGGTAGCCTCATAAAATGAGTTTGGAAGTTTTCCTTCCATTTCTATTTTTTGGAACAGTTCAGAAGAATAGGTATTAATTCTTCTTGAAATGTTTGGTAGAATTCCCCCTGGGAAGCCATCTGGCCCTGGGATCTTGTTTGTTGGGAGATTTTTGATGACTGCTTCCATTTCCTTAATGGTTATGAGTCTGTTCAGGTTCTCTATATCTTCCTGGTTCAGTTTTGGTAGTTGATACATCTCTAGGAATGCATCCATTTCTTCCAAGTTATCTAATTTGCTGGCATAGAGTTGCTCATAATATGTTCTTATAATAGTTTGAATTTCTTTGGTGTTGGTTGTGATCTCTCCTCTTTCATTCATGATTTTGTTTATTTGGGTCATTTCTCTCTTCTTTTTGAATAGTCTGGCCAGGGGTTTATCAATCTTGTTAATTCTTTCAAAGAACCAGCTCCTAGTTTCGTTGATCTGTTCTACTGTTCTTTTGGTTTCTATTTCATTGATTTCTGCTCTGATCTTTATTATTTCTCTTCTCCTGCTGGGTTTAGGCTTTATTTGCTGTTCTTTCTCCAGCTCCTTTAGGTGTAGGGTTAGGTTGTGTACTTGAGACCTTTCTGGTTTCTTGAGAAAGGCTTGTATTGCTATATACTTTCCTCTTAGGACTGCCTTTGCTGCATCCCAAAGATTTTGAACAGCTGTGTTTTCATTTTCATTGGTTTCCATGAATTTTTTAAATTCTTCTTTAATTTCCTGGTTGACCCATTCATTCTTCAGTAGGATGCTCTTTAGCCTCCATGTATTTGAGTTCTTTCTGACTTTCCTCTTGTGATTGAGTTCTAGTTTCAAAGCCTTGTGGTCTGAAAATAGGCAGGGAATGATCCCAATCTTTTGGTACTGGTTGAGACCTGATTTATGACCTAGAATGTGATCTATTCTGGAGAATGTTCCATGGGCACTAGAAAAGAATGTGTATTCTGTTGCTTTGGGATGGAATGTTCTGAATATGTTTGTGAAGTCCATTTGGTCCAGTGTGTCATTTAAAGTCTTTATTTCCTTGTTGATCTTTTGCTTAGACGATCTGTCCATTTCAGTGAGGGGGGTGTTAAAGTCCCCCATTATTATTGTATTGTTGTCGATGTGTTTCTCTGCTTTTGTTATTAATTGCCTTATATAATTGGCTGCTCCCATGTTAGGGGCATAGATATTTACAATTGTTAGATCTTCTTGTTGGATAGACCCTTTAAGTAGGATATAGTGTCCTTCCCATCTCTTATTACAGTCTTTGGTTTAAAATCTAACTTGTCTGATATAAGGATTGCCACCCCAGCTTTCTTTTGGTGTCCATTAGCATGGTAAATGGTTTTCCACCCCCTCACTTTCAATCTGGGGGTGTCTTTGGGTCTAAAATGAGTCTCTTGCAGACAGCATATCGATGGGTCTTGTTTTTTAATCCAGTCTGATAGCCTGTGTCTTTTGATTGGGGGCATTTAGCCCATTTACATTCAGGGTAACTATTGAAAGATATGAATTTAGTGCCACTGTATTGCCTGTAAGGTGACTGTTACTGTATATTGTCTGTGTTCCTTTCTGGTCTATGTTGCTTTTAGGGTCTCTCTGCTTAGAGGACCCCTTTCAAGATTTCTTATAGGGCTGGTTTTGTGTTTGCAAATTCCTTTAGTTTTTGCTTGTCCTGGAAGCTTTTTATCTCTCCTTCAATTTTCAATGACAGCTGAGCTGGATATAGTATTCTTGGTTGCATATTTTTCTCATTTAGTGCTCTGAATATATCCTGCCAGTCCTTTCTGGCCTGCCAGGTCTCTGTGGAGAGGTCTGTTGCCAATCTAATGTTTCTACCATTGTAGGTTATATATCTCTTCTCCTGAGCTGCTTTCAGGATTTTCTCTTTGTCTATGAGACTCGTAAGTTTTACTATTAGATGTCAGAGTGTTGACCTATTTTTATTGATTTTGAGAGGGGTTCTCTGTGCTTCCTGGATTTTGATGCCTGTTTCCTTCCCCAAATTAGTTAAGTTCTCTGCTATAATTTGCTCCATTATACCTTCTGCCCCTCTCTCTCTTTCTTCTTCTTCTGGGATCCCAATTATTCTAATGTTGTTTCGTCTTATGGTATCGCTTATCTCTCGAATTCTACCCTCGTGATCCAGTAGTTGTTTATCTCTCTTTTTCTCAGCTTCTTTATTTTCCATCATTTGGTCTTCTATATCATTGATTCTCTCTTCTGCCTCATTAATCCTAGCAGTTAGCGCCCCCATATTTGATTGCACCTCATTAACAGCCTTTTTGATTTCAACTTGATTAGATTTTAGTTCTTTTACTTCTCCAGAAAGGGTTTCTCTAATAACTTCCATGCTTTTCTCAAGCCCAGCTACTATCTTTAAAGTGATGATTCTGAACTCTAGATCTGACATCGTACTAATGTCCGTATTGAGTAGGTCCCTGGCAGTCAGTACTACCTCTTGCTCTTTTTGTTGAGGTGATTTTTTCTGTCTTGTCATTTTGTGCAGAGGAGAATAGATTAATGAGAGAACAAAATGCTAACAGGGTAACAACGTCCCCAGAAAATATACTCTAAACAAATCAGAAAAGACCTGAAGCAGTGGAAAAAGAAATGGAAAGAGAGAAAAAAGAAAAAGATAAAGATAAAAACAGAACAAAACAAAACAACAACAACAAAAAAAACCAGAATGTGATCAAATATGATCAGGCTGGTATATAGATCAGTGCCACACACTAGATTTTAGGTGTATTTTGGTCTGTTAGAAGAAAGTGCCCCCCAAAATTTTAAAGAAAGAAAAACTTATATATGTACAAAAATAAGGGTTGATATGATGAAGGGATGGAATATGACTGTAAAGATGGAAATCATTAAAAATTTTATAAAAGGAATTGATAAGAAGTTGTTTGAAAAAAGAAGAGGATTTAAAAAAAGAAAAAAGAAAAAAAAAGGGAGAGAATGTGATCAGGCAGGGGAGTAGAAAAAAACCATATACTAGAGATTTAGGGTATATTTTAATCTGTTATAAGAAACTATCTCAAAATTTTAAAGAGAGAACAACTTATATATATATACGCCAAAAATACGGGTAACTACTATGAAGTGATAGAATATGACTCTAAAAATGAAAAATAAAAATGTTTTTTAAAAAAGGGATTGATAAGATGTTGGTTGAAAAAGGGAAAAAGAAAAATTCCAAAAAAAAAAGAAAGAAACAGAAAAAAGACAGTTAAAAAAAAATTAACTTTGGAAGACTAAAGAATCATGGTAAAAAAGCCATGAATTCTATGTGCAGTATTCCCCTAGCGCTGGAGTTCTACCGTTCTCATTGATCAGTAAACTTGGTCTTGGCCGGCTGTTCTCGCTGATCTTCTGGGGGAGGGGCCTGTTGCCGTGGTTTCCAAATGTCTCTGCCGGAGGCGGAATTGCCCCGCCCTTGCCCCCTCCCGGCTAAGTAATCTGGTCGGGTTTGCTCTCTGGGGCTTTTGTTCCCTGCGAGCTTTCCGTACAGCTTTGGAGGCAGAGAGTGAAAATGGCGGCCTCCCAATCTCCACCTCAGAGGAGCCGAGAACTCGGGCCCTGCTCCTCAGTGAGCCCCCAGAGAAAAGCCGCCAGTCATTCCTGTCTCCCCGGTCTGCAGCTGCACTCTGTGCTCACCCGGCTTGTGACCGCGCGTTTCTATCTCTGGCACCCGACCCCGGGTGTTGTCTCCAAACCCAGCAGATCCCTGCGGTGCACTCCCGCGCGGCTCCTCCCAGGGGAGGAAGTGAGTCTCCCTGGATCTGCCGCTTGTTGGGTCCCTGCTGGAGGAGCAGTGGCCCGACTGTGCCGCGGATCACGGTTTATGGCAACCCCGAGCTGAGAGCCCGCGCCTGGGCTCCGCCTCTGCAGCCGGCTTCCCGCTCCGTTACCTGGGAGCTCTGCCACACTCAGGCACCCCCGGTCTTTCTGTGACCCCGAGGGTCCTGAGACCACACTGTCCCGGAGGGTTCCACCCCCCGCTTAGCCACCAGAGTGACGTCCCTTGGCGGAGCAGACTTTTAAAAGTTCCGATTTTGTGCTCCGCGGCTCTATCACTTGCCAGAAGCGGCCGACGGAGGCCCCTCCCCCGCCGTCTATCCTCCTGAATATCGCCTCGGATTCACTTCTCCGCACGTCCTACCTTCCAGAAAGTGGTCGCTTTTCTGTTCAGAGAGTTGTTGCTCTTCTTTTCTTCGATCTCCTGTTGAGTTTGTAGGTGTTCAGAATGGTTTGATCCCTATCCAGCTGAATTCCTGAGAGGAGACGAAATCCAGGTCTCCTACTCCTCCGCCATCTTGCTCCGCCCCCCCCCCCCCAGTGTCTCCATTTTTTATGGAGGAACTAAGGTTCAGAGAGACTAAGGGACTTGCTCAGGACCACCCAGATGGGAAATAAGCTGAAGTTGGAACTTGAACCTAAGCCTAATTCCTAAATTCATTCTTTCATTTCCAGGGGTTGGGTTTTAAACCTAAATATAATGGAGAAGACCTCTCATGCACTATAAGAAATCTTCAAAGAAGTACTACATACAAGTTTAGGGTATGTGGCTATAATTTATAAATTTGTATCATATTTTTAATATTAAATTATACTCTTCACTGGAGATTAAAAAAATGAGTATCTTTTTTGGTTGAAATTAAACATTATTTTGCATTTAGTTCTCAGAAATCTTCAAATAACCTGCTTTATAATATTATTTGCAAACTATGCACATTTTCAAATCAGATATTTATTTCCAGTGGTCAACCAAGGTATTCTCTTTTACTCAAACAGATCTTTGCCTACAATTTGGAAGGAAGGAGTAACCCCAGTGGAGAAGTAAAATATACTACCTATCCAGATAAGCCTGGATCCCCTGAAACACCATATATAAAGGGAAAAATCTATGCACACAGAGTAAAAATTGGATGGGGTAATGTTTTTGTATTTGAAATGTACCCTTTCTGTCTTAATATTAACTATTGAGAAGAAATCTTCCTCTAACTGCCCGCAGCTTTATAAAATATTCTCTTATTTTCATTTGAAATATTTCACCTTATAAATGAGTTCAGTTGTAAATGACATTTTTTATAGTTCTCTGTTGAGTTCTCTATTGCTATCTCATTAAGTCACACATGAACAAATTACTAAATTTTATATGAGCCTTCAAAAATTATAGTTATTCCAAGTAAGATTATATCTAATATAGAGGCCAAAATGAAAAGGACACAACAATGATAAATGCCAGCTTGATAAGAAATTATGTTTTTACAAATCATTTTGCCTCTCAACTGGCAAAATCTACTTCAAGGTACAAATACTTAGCATTTTAGTCTCTTTGAAAGAACTTTAAAATCTTAATTCATTAAGATTTTAGTTTCATGTCTAATATTAATACCCTATTAAATTTCATGTTTGTATTTTTTCTCCATAAAAATTTTAATTTATAAGATAATGTTCCAATGAAAGACTTTTAAGTTTATTCAAGAATAATATTAATTTTATTTCTCTTTTCAGAACCACCCAAAGATAATGGTGGGACATACACTTCAAGTTACAGTTTAGAAGTTAGTGAAAATTCAGATGGTAAGACATCATGACTTTTTTTCAAAGTTATATTATAAGATTTTTTAAAAGTTTTTATTTAAATTCCAGTTAGTTAGTTAACATACAGTGTACTATTAATTTCAGGTGTACAATATAGTGATTCAACACTTCCATACAACACCTGGTGCTGATCACAACTGTGCATCATGATTTTTTTTAAAGTTTTTATTTTGAAATAGTTTTAGATTTATCCAGAAGTTGTCAAAATAGTGTAGAGAATTCCTGTATATAACCTTCACTCAGCTTCTCCTAAAATTAGTATCTTACATAACCATAGTACAATTATCAAAACCAGGAAATTGGCATTGGTACAATACTATGAACTAATCCAGGACTTACTTGGATTTCCCCATTTTTTAGTAGCAAATTATGTTTATTTACTGATCTTTTATTATTTTATGGCTAATTCTATAAGGAATATAATTATTTAAATATTGTAAATAGGTAACTGGACCACAGTTAGTTTCCAAAATGCTTATTTCTTAGTATATACATGAGATAATAATGGGACCCATAAAATTTATAAGCTACCTATAAATAAATTAGATAAATTTGCTTTTATCCCTTCAGAGAATTCCTGGAACATAATCTACAGTGGAACCACAAAGGAATTTCTATATGATCACCTGCAACCTGGTACTACATATAAACTGAGAGTCTTTTGTACTTCACCTGTAGGCCAAAGCCAGGTGAGGAAACAGAGAGGGAAGTGTGTAAATTGAGGATTGAAATTATTTATGTTACTGTTTTAAAAAACTGAATTTGAATTTAATATAATCATAAGGTATTTTGTATTTCTCTTAGCCTTCAGATATATTGACTATTCAAACACCTACTCTTTCTCCTGCATCTTGCCATCCTCTACCTTTGAATGGTGAAACCAAGACCAAAGAAACGAACATCAAATGTGGTGAGGCTTCTTGTATGATTTGAATGACTTCGCCTAAATTTCTTGTTTTGTAACCTCTGATTTTAATTAATTAATGTTACTGAAGCAGAGCAAGTGCATTTTTTACTACAAAATCAAATAATATTTACAAAACTGTTTCTTACTTGGTAATTGAAATCACAACTTTTGAAGCATAATTAACATTCAATGTTATATTAGTTTCAGGTGTACAACATATTGATTCAATAATTCTATACATTAGTCGTGCTCACCACAATAAGTATAATCACCATCTATCACCATACAATGTTATTACAATATTACTGATTATATTCCCATGCTGTACTTTTCATCTCCATGACTTATTTATTTTATATAACTAAGTTTGTACCTTTTAATCCCCTTTATCTATTTTGCCCATCACTCCACCCACCTCTCCTCTGGCAGCCACCAGTTTGTTCTCTATATTTAAGAGTCTGGGTTTTTTTTGGTTTTTTGTTTGGTTGGTTTGTTTTTTAGAGTGCACATATAAGTGAAATCATATGGTATTTCTCTCTCTGTCTGACTCACAACACTTAGTAAATACCCTCTAGGTCCATCCATGTTGTCACAAATGTTTTAAATATCAAAATTAAATTTAAAATTCAATTGACACAATTAATATAATTTGAGTATTCTGTTACTTTATTAAGTGTTTTCACATTGTGTCTTCTAAAATTATTTTGTATTATTTTAAAGGACCACCCCTAAAATTACTTGCAAATTTTTAAAATTTATTCTGTACATTTTTGTAGATTATCATCCTAATGAAAACTCTGAAGCACCTGCATATGTCAATAAGGCAGAAGATAACCAAGATGACAAACGAGGGCACCCTAGTTCCAAAGTGAGATCCATAGTGAGTAAATTAATTCTGAAGAATCCAGTTTCTGGTTAAAAGTAGTGAATAGTGCTGGAGAAGTTACATTGTTCAGTTGACCCATTCATGGTTCATTTCACTTTGGATGAATTTATGCTTCTACTTCCTGTCAGGGTGGGGAGTGACCATATCTGCACAATCACCTTTGTGTTTTCTTATTTGTTTGTGTTTATTTGTAGTTGGGACCTCATCCATTGAAGTGTGAAAGTGCACCAGTCCCAAGCCCTCCTTCTCAATGTGGTATACCTGTGCTAACCTGCAAGGGTCCAACCTGTGTTGTTGTTAGTTGGGGGGTATGTTATCAATTTATTTTTATTAATTTTGTTGATATAAGAGCACACCTATTGGTTTAGTATTTTTTTTTTTGAAAGTCTACAACTCCCTAAGGAGTCAGAGTTTAGATTAGGGTTCCATAAATCTTGGACCATGGTTCTAGAACAACATAAGACCTGATACTAGTACTATTAGGAAGGCTAAGGCTAGGGACACCTGGGTGGCTCAGTCAGTTAAGCATCTGCCTTTGGCTCAGGTCATGATCCCAGGATCCTGGGATCACGTCCGGCATCAAGCTCCTTGCTCAGCCCCTATTAAATAAATAGGGGCACCTGGGTGGCTCAGTCAATTGAGTGTCCGACTCAATTTTGGCTCAGGTCATGGTCTCAGGGTCTTGAGATCAAGCTCTGCATCAGGCTCCATGCTCAGCATAGAGTCTGCTTGAGATTCTTTTCCTCTCCCTCTGCTCCTCCCCACTGCTCTCTAAAATAAATAAGTAAATAAAATCTTTAAAAAAAAAAGAAGAGGTGCCTGGGTGGCTGAGTCAGTTAAGCGTCTGCCTTCAGCTCAGGTCATGATCCCAGGGTCCTGAAATCGAGCCCCATGTCCAACCCCTTGTTCAGCAGGGAGCCTGCATCTCCCTCTGACTGCTGCTCCCCCTGTTTGTGCTCGCTCTCTCTCTGTGTCAAATAAATAGATAAAATCTTTTTTAAAAATTTAAATAAATAAATAAATAGCTAAAACTATGGTAATCCTATGGTAATCCTGCTTTTCAGACTCTATATTTATAGAGATTAATAAATTTGGAAAACCAAATAGGCGATCAATAGGTAACTAATTTAATTTTTTAAAGGTTTATTTATTCATTTGAGACACAGAGATACAGAGAGAGAGAGAGAATATGAGCAGGGGGAGAAGCAGAGGGAGGGGGAGAAGCAGGCTTCCCGCTCAGCAGGGAGTCCAATGCGGGGCTTGATCCCAGGACCCTGGGATCATGACCTGAGCCAAAGGCAGACGCTTAACCATCTGAGCCACCCAGGCGCCCCAACTAATTTAATTTTTTTTTAAAGATTTTTATTTATTTATTTGACACAGAGAGACAGCAAGTGCAGGAACACAAGCAGGGGGAGTGGGAGAGGGAGAAGCAGGCCTCCCGTGGAGCAGGGAGCCCGATGTGGGGCTCGATCCCAGGACCCTGGGATCATGACCTGAGCCGAAGGCAGACGCTTAACGACTGAGCCACCCAGGTGCCCCCTAATTTAATTTTTAAAACCAAAACAAGAGATAATAAAATCAATTTATAGAACTTTGAGCCCCGCATTGGGCTCCCTGTTCGGTGGGAAGCCTGCTTCTCCCTCTCCCTCTCCCCCTGCTTGTGTTCCCTCTCTCGCTGTGTCTCTCTCTGTCAAATAAATAAATAAAATCCTTAAAAAAAAGTGACTATGAGATAATGAAGCTTTAAAAAATGTTTTGCATCCATGTGAATAGCTCCCCATTTAAATAAGCTCAAAAAATAAAAACTGGCCTAGTTTTTAAGCCACCTATGTATCTCTGAATTTTTCTTCCATTCTTCCCAGACTCTAGCAGAGGGTTTTTAGCATTGACACAAAAGCTTTAGTTTGATAATAATAAATGACAATCTGATAACAGCACTGTACAAAATCCAGAGAATACTGGAATTTGTGTTTGAACCCACTAATCAATAGTAATATTAAGCAACATTAGTATATCTAGGTTTGCTCTTTTTTAAGTAACCTATTTGAGAATACTTTTAACAAATTAAAAATAGGAATTTATCAAATATGTGGGATTAGCCAATCCTTTCTCTTAATTTTATTTGAGCCTTTTAATGTTAATTATAGTATTCTGCCTTATATTTAATTATTTCTACAATTGTCTCATACCATTTAATAGATTATGAGTTTTGATATTGAAAAATTATGTTGTAACTCTCCACAATATCTAGTATAATGACAATTTATAGAAAGAACTCAATTTCTGTGTTTGTTGCATCTTTTAGATTCCTTTGTGTAATGGTGCTGAAATCACTGAATATAGACTTGACTGGGGACAAAGTGAAGAATCAATGCACTTGATTTACACTGGCCCTTGTCTGAGCTATGAAGTTAAAGGTCTCATTCCTGCAACTACATATTTTTGCAGAGTTCAGGTAATCCCAACAGTTATTCCAATGTAAATAAGACAACAGTTATTAACCTATACTATCCACATCCATAATACTGACACCATTTCTAGTGTAGTGACTAGAAGGGATTAATAGACTTCCAAATGTTAAATATTTCTCATGTTCAGCAACATCATTCTGAGCTCCTTCACCTAGCATTTAAAGCCCCACATAATCTGGAACCTACTTTTTATGCCAACTTGATCAGCCATTATTTTTTCTACAGTTCTGTTTCCCAAATTACCTTGAACTTAACAATCACCTGAAATGCTTGTTTAAAACACTGATTCCTGCACCTTCACTCAGACTACTGAGTCAAAATTTCTAATCCAGTGACTTCTTAATCTGTAAAATTAAAAAGCACTCAAAGTGATAATTATCATCAATTAGGAAAAACTTCAGAAACTATTTCAAACAAACAAGTCTGCTCTACCACCACCCCAAGTATGCCTTGTACATTTGTTCATGCCTTATTCATTGCCTATCTTGTCCCATAAAACCAAGCTTTTGCATCAGTGCTTCCCTGAAAACCTTAGCTGGAAGTGATCTCTTCCTCCTCTGAACTACTAGAATTATAAGACACACAACATTAAGGTTTGGGGAAACAATCCAAATTTGGAAAGATCTGATATGTTGTCCCTATAAACTAAAGCCATCAAATTGTAGGAGCCCTAATACTGAGAATCTAAGTTCCATCTCCCAGATTGCCTTTCATCACTGGAAGTAATTTTTTTTTAAATCCTTTGTCAACTTTTTTGGGTATCTTTTTTTTTTTTTTTTTTGGCAAAGTGCTCTGACAATATATATTTGTGAGAAGGCCACTGCAATTGTCCAAAGGACAGGTGAGTTTATGAATATTAAGGATGCTACAATGGGAATGCTAAGACATTAATGGAGCTGAAAGATATTTGAGAAGTAAAAATCAATGGAATGTGATCCTGCCAAGACAGAATATCCCCATACCTCCCAGGTCCTCCTTCTTACAACTAAAACTCTCTGAACATAACACAACAAACAAGCATAGACTATAAATGGTGGAAAGAAAGAAAAATGTAAAAAGAAAAGGATCCTAAGGACCTCACAAATTGAAAAACAACACAGTAGTGAGCCCCTTGGGTTTCGTTATCACCACACACATGTCCCAGAAAGGGTATGGGAGAAGCCTCCAATTCAGAACTGCCAACAGAGACAGGGAAAAAATCTTCAAGAAAAGCCTACATCCCGCCAACAAAATGACTGGGAAAATGCTAGCCTAACCACAGAAAATCTCTTAAGTAATGCGCACCTTACTCCAGCCAAATGAAATTGAAATCTCAATTAAAAAACCACACACATTCCTGCCCTTCCCCAACCCTGAAATTTCAACAGGCAGAGTGGGAAGCTGACCATCCAAGCCACCCCAGAAGCAAGAAACATGCTCCAGTTTCCCTACCCAGTAGTTTCAGTTCCAGAAGGGCCAAGCACGGAGTTAATCTTCCATTCACTGCCTGGCAAAATCAGACAGTGCTCTGCTCCCATCCCCTGCCAACTGGTGTCAGTATGGCCAAGCAGGGACCTTATGATCTTCCACACCTTTTTGGATGGAAGTGGGAAGGAGCACTCTAATTCCCCTGAATGGTTAGTGTTGGCAAACTCAACTTCCACCCTCACCCAGCAGCAATGGACTGACCAAGGTGGTGTGATTCAGGCTAGTTAGCACTCTATTTTCTTCTTACCCCTGTGTCAGTGAAGCCCAATGAGAAGTTTATTTTTTTAAACTTAAGTATAGATTAATTGACATACAATATTTTTTATTATTATGTTCAATTAGCTAGCATCATTAGTTTTCTACATAGTGTTCAAAGATTCATTAGTTGCATATAACACCCAGTGCTCATCACCACATGTGCCCTCCTGAATACCCATCACCGGGCTAACCCATTCCCCCACTCCCCTCCCTTCTGTAACCCTCAGTTCAGTTCCTGGAGTCCAGAGTCTCTCATGTTTTGTCTCCCTCTCTGATTTCTTCCCATTCAGTTTTCCCTCCCTGCCCCTGTGGTCCTCTATGCTATTCCTTATATTCCACATATGAGTGAAACCATATGATAATTGTCTTTCTCTGCTTGATTTATTTCACTTAGTATAATCCCCTCCAGTTCCATCCAAGTCGAGGCAAATGGTGGGTATTCATCCTTTCTGATGGCTGAGTAATATTCCACTGTAGATATGAACCACATCTTCTTTATCCATTCATCTGTTGAAGGGCATCTCAGCTCCTTCCACAGTTTGGCTATCGTGGACACTGTTGATATGAACATTGGGGTGCATGTGCCCCTTCTCTTCACAATGTCTATATCTTTGGGGTAAATACCTAGTAGTGCATTTTAACATCTTGAGGAACCTCCATACTGTTTTCCAGAGTGGCTGTACCAGCTTGCATTCCCAGCAACGGTGTAATAGGGTTCCCTTTCTCCACATCCTCACCAACATTTGTTGTTTCCTGTCTTGTTAATTTTAGCCATTCTAACTGGTATAAGGTGGTATCTCATTGTGGTTTTGATTTGTATTTCCCTGATGGCTAGTGATGTTGAACATTTTTTCATGTGTCAGTTAGCCATTCATATGTCTTCTTTGGAGAAGTGTCTGTTCATGTCTTCTGCCCATTTTCTGACTGGATTATTTGTTTTTGGGGTGTTGAGTTTGAGAAGTTCTTTATAGATCTTGATACCAGCCCTTTATCTGGTATGTCATTTGCAAATATCTTCTCCCATTCTGTGAGTTATTTCTTAGTTTTGTTGACTGTTTCCTTTGCTGTGCAAAAGCTTTTTATCTTGATAAAGTCCCAAAGTTCATTTTTGCTTTTGTTTCCCTTGCCTTTAGAGACATGTGTTGAAAGAGGTCACTGTGGCCAATGTCAAAGAGGGTATTGCCTATGTTCTCCTCTAGGATTTTGATGGATTACTGTCTCATATTGAGGTCTTTCATCCATTTTGAGTTTATCTTTGTTTATTGTGTAAGAGAATGGTCCAGTTTCATTCTTCTGCATGTGGCTGTCCAATTTTCCCAGCACCATTTATTGAAGAGACTGTCTTTTTTTCTGTTGGATATTCTTTCCTGATTTGTCGAAGATTAGTTGACCATAGAGTTAAGGGTCCATTTCTGGGCTCTCTATTCTGTTCCATTGATTTATGTGTCTGTTTTTGTGCCAATATCATGCTATCTTGATGATCACAGCTTTGTAATATAGCTTGAAGTCAGGCATTGTGAAGCCCCCTGTTTTGGTTTTCTTTTTTAACAATTCCCTGGCCATTTGGGGTCTTTTCTGGTTCCATACAAATTTTAGGATTGCTTGTTCCAGCTCTGTGAAAACTGTTAATGGTATTTTGATAGGGATTGCGTTGAAAGTGTAGATTGCTCTGGGCAGCATAGACATTTTCACAATGTTTATTCTTCCAATCCATGAGCATGGAATGTTTTTCCATCTCTTTGTGTCTTCCTCAATTTCTTTCATAAGTGTTCTGTAGTCACTAGAGTATAGATCTTTCACCTCTTTGGTTAGGTTTATTCCTAGGTATCTTATGGTTTATGGTGCTATTATAAATGGAATCAATTCCTTAATTTCTCTTTCTTCAGTCACATTGTTAGTGTATAGAAATGCAACTGATTTCTGTGCATTGATTTTGTATCATGCCATGTTGCTGAATTGCTGTATCAATTATAATAATTTTGGGGTGGAGTCTTTCGGATTTTCCACATAAAGTAACGTGTCATCTGCAATGACAGAGAGTTTGACTTCTTCTTTGCCAATCTGAATGCATTTTATTTCTCTTTGTTGTCTAATTGCTGATGCTAGGACTTCTAGTACTATGTTAAACAAAAGTGGTGAGAGTGGGCTTCCCTGTTGTGTTCCTGACCTTATGGGAAAAGCTCTCAGCTTTTTCCCCGTTGAGAATGATATTCGCTGTGGGCATTTCATAGATGGTTTTTATCATATTGAGTTATGTTCCCTCTATCCCTATATTTTGAAGAGTTTTAATCAGGAAAGGATGCTGTATTTTGTCAAATGCTTTTTCTGCATTGACTGAGAGGATCATATGGTTCTTGTCTTTTCTTTGTTAATGTGATCTATCAGTTGATTGATTTTCAAATGTTGAACCACCCTTGTATCCCAGGAATAAACCCCACCTGGTCATAGGGAATAATCCTTTTAATGTACTGTTGGATCCTATTGGCTAGGATCTTGTTGAGTATTTTGGTATCCATGTTCATCATGGATACTGGTCTGTAATTCTCCTTTTTGATGGGGTCTTTGTCTGGTTTGGGGATCAGGGTAATGCTGGCCTCATAGAATGAGTTTGGAAGTTTCCCTTCCATTTCTGTTTTTTGGAACAGCTTCAGTAGAATAGCTATTATTTCTTCTTTAAATGTTTGGTAGAATTCCCGTGGGAAGCCATCTGGCCCTGGACTCTGGATTTTGGGGAGGTTTTGATTACTGCTTCAATCTTATTACTGGTTATTGGTCTATTCAGATTGTCTATTTCTTCCTGTTTCAGTCTTAGTAGTTTCCAAGTTTCCAGGAAGGCATCCATTCCTTCCAGGTTGCTTAATTTGTTGGCATATAGTTGCTGGTAATAATTTCTAATAATTATTTCTATTTCCTTGGTGTTAGTCTTGATCTCTTCCTTTTCATTCTTGATTTTGATTTGGGTTCTTTCCCTTTTCTTTTGGATAAGTCTGGCCAGAGGTTTATCGATCTTATTAATTCTTTTTTTTTTTTTAAGATTTTATTTATTTTTTAGAGAGCGAGCGAGAGAGAAACAGCATGAGAGGGGAGAGGGTCAGAGGGAGAAGCAGGCCCCCTGCTAAGCCGGGAGCCCGATGTGGGACTCGATCCCAGGACCCTGGGGTCACGACCTGAGCCGAAGGCAGATGCTTAACCATCTGAGCCACCCAGGCGCCCTCGATCTTATTAATTCTTAACTATTGAAAGATATGAATTTAGTGTC